GGCTCCGTCTCCACTTCCTTGAGATTGAAATGAAATCTATCTGGTTTTTGGTGTGTCCATCTGGTGAAATCCATGTTGCCTTGTGTATATCCCTGTGTTTGAACACACTGCCACCAATCACCAAATCATTGAAGGCGCAGAAGTCTGAGAAGAGTTCGCCATTTTCGTTCATTTCACCGAGGGCCTCACGACCCATGGTGAGTTCTCTTCCTGTATTGTCTCCTCCCAGTTTCGCATTCATGTCGCCCATCAGGATTTTGATATTGCTCTTTGGGACGTTGTCCATTACTGTTTGTAGTTGACTGTAGAAATCCTCCTTCTTCTCTTTTTCTGAGACGTTTGTAGGCGCGTAGCATTGAATGATTGTAACATTTTTTCCTTTTGAGTTGAACCTGGCTGTCATTATCCTGGAGGAGATTGGTTCCCACTGCATGAGAGCTTTAGCCGCTGTTGGTGACATCATGATGGCTACTCCCTCGGTGTGCCCGTGATCGTCCTCTGGGTGACCGGAGTAGATTATTGTCTCTCCAGTTGGTAGTTGGCACCTTCCGCATCCGTTCCATCTGCTCTCGCAGATTCCCAACACTTCTATTTTATATCTCCTCATTTCTGCGGCTACCTGAGCAGCCTTTCCAGTTTCGTACATTGTACGAATATTCCACGTCCCCATCCTTATTTTTGCTCTCATCGAAAGAAGGCACATCGGCTGACTGGCTTCCCGAAGGCTTTCACCAGCTTGCGTCATTTCACTTCCCCGATTCCAGCGAGAAATAAGGTCATTGTTTGTATTTTTAGAATTTAAAATATATTTGTGCGTTGAAGTTTTCGTAGCGATTTCGTTAAGTTTTGGGGGTGGAGTTGCTAGCACCACGCCACAACCCTCCCTCTTTATCCGGGCTTGGGACCGGCTAGAATACTAGTGACCTAGTAATCTAGGCGAAGCGTATATTTCATAGGCATAGAATATCATGTTAACAACGAGATTCTTATGTTTGTGATTTTGTATTTTACATGAAATTCATTCATAAGGCGAAATTCATATCCTTATTCATAACTCTGTTTATCTGAAATTTACATACTTTTCCTTAAATTAATTCTGTATTTCATTGCTTAGATTCCTGCTTTGTGAAAAATCGCTCTTCTTATTTATGGTACTTTTATGATTTTATGATAATACAATTCAGATTTACATACACATCATTGTTATTATTATCATTCCCTTTGGTCCTCAGTGGAAGATATTGCTTCAGCACCTCACCTAGGTATCATTCTTTTCTCTGAAACCCTTTTCATCTGGCTGTGTAACTGCATGGTGGCCCATAAGCAGATATTCTCCTCTTCACACAATCTCCTCTCTGTCAGCCTCACAAACCCAACTCACCGTTTTCTATTATGGTTCTACTCAGGAGTCTGCATTGTGCGTGATATCATTTAGTGGTCTTCTCAGCATGTGTTCTGTCCACCTCCATTTCCTTCTACATATTTGTTGGGCGACTAGTCCCTGGTTGGTTGGTTGGCAGAGTTCTTTGTTATTAATCCTTTCTGGCCACATGATCTTCAGTATTAAGCTAGCGATGGCAGCTGTTGTTAAAATCCTGTAGCATGTTTGAGATACTTCCGGTGACGCACTGAGTCTCTGAATTACGTAGAACTGCTGACAGGACATTAGTGCTGAAAGTCTGAATCTTGTTCTTTATGCTGACTATAGTAAATTTTCACACTGATTTTAGGGTAATGAAGGCCTATCTTGCTTTTACGGTCTTGTCTTCGTTATCCTCATCTGTATCACCTTTAAATGAATCTCCACTGCCATATTTATCATTCTACTTCAAACTTGGTTGTCATCTACTGTATCGATGCATCAAACTGAAAGACGATGAGTGTCAACAAAAGCCTGTAATCTTTGCATATCTACTCATGGTGACAGCGTGTAACAACGATAAAGAAGAAAGCGGCGATATTCTGTGTACTACAAAAACTACAATTTAGCCGTGTGTATTTCAAACGAAGCTGCCTAGGTAGGTGAAAGAAGGGACTCCATTCAAATTTCTGTCGTAGATGGCGATTGGTACTGATTAACTGAATAATGTTCTTAAAACTTCGTGTCACAGTTGCGACTGGTGCACTACTTTGACTTGGAGTTAGCCAAATTGTATAAGGTATCAATGCTACAGAGTGTTAATACTTTGGAAGTTATGCGCGAATTTCGCCAATATATTACAGTTACCTAAAATTTTTACATCATAGCATTTCAGTGTTTTTGTCATATATCAGTAAAACGTCCATAAAATGCAGCATCGAAGAACTTTCTAATAGTTTTGGATTGATGAGTTTTAATATTCTCAGGATAATGCAAAACCTATTGAAACTGAAAGGTTATAATTTATTGTACGTGTTGAACTAAACACCAGATGAATTGGAATTTTTAAGCGTACTATAAAATTCTTTTACGATTCAACGACCTATGTGCGATTCAATGTGGAAATAATGGAGACAATCTGTGGCTCAGGTGGACGATTTTGGCATATTATTGATCTCGCAGTTGCATGGTTCAGTTGAGAAGTTTTCTGTTCCTTAATAACAACGTTCTCAGTGCCATACTTCAGTTTGAAGCAGTTTTTTGAAATTCCCTACGGGATTAAGTCATCACTCGCAATGACCTTGAATGTGATTGGTTTTTTTGTGATGACTCTAAACTGCAACAGCGCAAAACGAAACTACCTAATGAACAGATTAATGACTTTGAGCAGCCAGTCAGATAAGTCTGTGGTATACGGAGGGAATTATGAATTCTGTACACAAATTGCGTAACACATTTTATACAAATTTAGTATTAAAGTACAGCTTAGACAACAGGCTCATTGGGAGGTATAGCGAATTGTGATCCCTGGGCTAATTTCCCAAAGTGGTCAATAATATGTACCATTTCAATAATCCTTTCGATGATACTCACAATAACTTCATCAAAAGTTTCTGGAGTCACCTAAAAATAGGGTCACAGCTGTGAATCGGTCAAGAAATACAATTATCTGTACGAATTTATGTGAAGAAATTGGTTTAACCTAACTATAAGGACTCCTACGGGAAACTGAGATGTATTCTAGGAGCATATACAAAAACATTATCCTATATAACTACATTTTAACGTTGCTCTGCTTGAATATAAATGTTTCTTTAAATTAGGCACCTATACTTCAGGCGTACTTGATTAGTCGACGGAGAATTTTCAAGGCCCTTATTAAGTAGTTTCGTTTTGGGCTGCTATAGTTTAGAGTCACCGTTTTTGTATACATGTCCACCAGTCCGGTTGCAAACGCCAGACGTTCGCATTCACCTACCTCATGAAGGTAGTAAATAGGACTTATCTGGCTGAGACTATGAACGCATGGCCACATGAGAGCGTTTCGAGAGGAAGACAGAAGTCTACCTACCCTAGGCCATACAACGTTATTTATGGAGGGGTGGGGGGCAGAAATAAAGAACGCTTCACGGTTTTGCGTGTTTGCCTAGCTCAGGAGCTATGTTAATCGTATCTGTGTCCTTAAAATTCTAGTATATGTACTGCAAAAGCGAAACGACTGAGTTAGTAAGTAAAAATACTTAAGCAGAAATAAAAGTAGACACACTGGTATCAGCCAGAAAATTTTATTTCCTGAAATGACCTAGCCCTCCATTTTCAGTTGGAAACCAGATGCGTTACGCAAAAGCCCTAATATAGGTGCAAAGAAAATTTGATAAGGTGTAAGGTATTTCATTACTCTTTTGTGCATGAGTCAAGTATGACCCAGATTTCAAGCTATGCGGAAGTTATGAGTAAAGTATTCAGTAAAATAAGTAAATCCTCTTATTCGTTTAAAATCTTTCATACATTTTTTGAAAACAGTATGTGCTCTATCTGGCAGTCGTCTTTCATTGACATGCACTCTTTTAGTTCAGGTAAAGAAAAATATGAAATGCGTCAACAGTATATGAACTGAGACATGTTTTCAGTACACACAAGTAAGATGTTCTTAGCTGGAATTGTCAGGGAAATATGAGTTGCTTAATTAGAGTCTGAAATGCATAACTAGATCAGTAGTTTACGAATTTGTACGACAGAACTTCAAATGATCATTTTGATCAAGACATAGAAATTCCATCCAAATCTTGATTATGTCATTAATTTTGTTTCATATTGTGGTGGTGTGATACAGACAATGGGTTCCAATGGAATATTATTCTCACGGTAAGAATCATCGTATTGGGCTGATGTTGACGTCTGAATACTATTCCCACAGTTCAGTACTACAGTAGCAACAGAATACTATTTATATTTGAACAGTCTATTTCATGTAAACTAAAATCAAACGCACAGTGATTGGTTGAAGAATATAAACTGTATAGATATAAATGGCTGTTTGATCACCTGAAAATATACCTTGGCTTCCGTGTCCTGCCTTCTGCAGTTGCAATATTTTTATTGTTTGTTTTATATTAAGTATGAAGGAAATTTTATTTGCATAACTTTCACAGTGTTATGCAGTATTATTTATTGGAATTATACTCTACTACATGGCGCAGGTTCTATTCGTATATCAAATCTCACATTCATTTTACAACTGCTTTTACTAGTACTCTCATCAGCTGTTTCTTTCTTGGTGCAATTACGGTTTTTGATTTTCTTTCTGTTACACATTTACGCGTGATCTGATATTGTTAATGAAAAGATAGAATGTCCTACAAATCAAGTTTACGCGATGCCCAATTAGGAGAATATTCATGAACACATATTAATACGATAATGATAAGTATTGAATTTAAGTGAATGTATAATTTTCGATGCTGGTAGTGTTACACTTCCCTTTTAGATCTGTAGGTTAACAGTTATGAAACACGACAACTTCTTCTTCTGAAATAGTCATTTATCTTGGAAGGTAACCTCCTCTCTACCTTCAGATTTAAATCATGACAGTAATTATCTTCTGGTCATCACTTATGCTCTACTCATGATATACTTATTTCATGAAACTCATTTTTCATCTCAACCCTCACAAAGCATTAAATCAAAAGATAAGACAACTTTGTTTTCAATATTTTTGCAATAGAAAACAGTTGGATGAGTGTAATATATTTAAGTAATACTGTTAATAGAAACAAAAAAAACCAACTGAAATCTCTTAAATTATAGAATGTTAATAAATAAAAAAGAATTCCAAAGAAGAACCAGTCGAAAGAGAAGTTAAACAATGCCAAAAAATGTGCACAAATAAAAATTCAACAGAGACAAATGTTCACAAAATAATACGATACAAAATATGACCAATGCAAAGACAAACACAAATGGACACATCACAGAAATTAATAGCAGCTTTTCAAATGGCAAAACTCTGAGTTACTGTTTTTGTATATCTTATGCTATCAACGGTTGTCAGTTGATGAAATCAGTTAAATTCAAATAAAGGTTCATCGTCTACTTCAGCTTGAAAATCAAAATCTGTCCAGGGGAATTGTGAACTGGATAATTCATCTAATAAAAAAGATAAGAAAAAGTTACCTGAAGTGATTAGTACTTTTTAAATTAGGCTATTTGATTATGTTTACAAAGAGGACGCCTAAAAGTACTTCATGTAATTTTATTGATTAAAAACAATCATATTTATTAGAGGCAAGTTTCTTCTAGAGATTATTATCATAACACTCAACTACTAATCACTTTTCAAATAATGAGTTACATTTGATATGATTTAAACAGTGATAACAGTAGAAACATTGAAAGAATCTTGTTAAATACCCTAAATGTTGCTAGAATCTGCTCTTTTGTTTTTATTTGTTTAATTCAGTATACTACCATAATGTAATGTTTACCACGAAGCATACTTCGCTTGTATCTGTCGATAACACTAGAGAAGCAAACGAAGATGGGATATAACTCCGTGATACATTGGTAAATTCCTTTCTAACACTGACGATAGACACAAATAGTCGTTTCTAAATTACTTTTACCGATAACTGTGAACTCAAAAAAATTGACAATGTATCATTTAGGACAGGCTGCAACAAAATAATGTTGGACCATATATATCACAAAGTGAAAATGGTGAATTCCGGAGATTTAATAAATTTAGGAAAGTTCAAACATTAAATGGCAGTAAAAGCATGGAACTGAGGAAGTTAAGTAGACAACCTACACTAGTAATACATTGTTTAAATATGTTTAGAAGTAGTATAATTGTCAAAAAGAAGTCGTGGATTAATTGCTGGCTTAGTTTTTGAACAGAGTATACCCTTCTTAATTATTTGTAAACTATACTCATCTACTTGTTGTCTGAACACCTGTTAAATTATGTGGAAAGTACTTCAGACTTCAGATTCTGCAATGTATTGTACACATATTCTTCTTCTTTTGTCAGTTATTCAGTAAATTTATTAAATATTTATGGTGTACTTTCATTAAATGAGTATAAATTTAGAATTTCAGTATTTAAAATCTTGACATTGTTTTATTGAAATGTCTTCTCTCTACTTTGAAATTTCTGTAGCGAATAGGTTAATTTTCTGGACTTAGCACCGGCTAGTAAACACTCATATAAAGTCAGTGTTTCTATATGGTTCTGAGACTCAGCGCCCCACTGAAAGCATTTCCAATAGGCTACTGCATGAGTTCAGGCCGTGGTACACGGTTCTGGGAGCGCCCCATGCTGCCTTTCTCGGAAAGGGGGGGTTAGGAAAGGTTGGCCCCAAAAAATGTGCATCCCACGCTCACCCAGAGGCATACGGCGGCCCCGGTGAGTGTACCAACGCGGTCGAAACCAAACTTTGCCCGCTCAAAATGATAAGGAAACCGAGGCTGACCGGCAGCTTAACCGGACTTCTACTTATATGACTGTGGCGACAGTATCAGTAGGAGATAACTTGGGTTGTCACACCGTTCCTAGCGTAGCTTCGTTGATAGTAGCAGCGGGCGCCAACCAAATTTGTCAAACCTCACAACCTACTGATACATTGGCAACGGTATCAGTCGGGGCTGGACTTAGTCGTCATCAATCCAACCCCATGAACCAAACGAATTCGAAAAATATCATGCCGGATAGGCCGTGGCCCGGATTAACTACGACCGCGCTTCCTGCTGCCGAGTCACAGGGCAGAAGTGATAAGTATACTACTGAGACACACCAGGCCGCGTGTGACCGGCCTCAAGCAGATGTCCCCTGGGCTCTGCGGTCACGCAACACTAACCTTTTTTCTATTTCAGGTACCCGTAGATTAAACTCAGGCGTGAGGCCAGCAACCCCACCCTGTAGACAAAGATGCTACAGAAACTTCAGCGTGAACAATCTCCCTGCGTCAAAAGAAAAAGTCTGTGTGGGGACATGGAATGTCCGCACCATGTACGAGACTGGCAAAGCTGCCCAGATCGCAAGCGAAATGAGGAGATACGGAATACAAGTATTGGGGATCTGCGAAAGCAGATGGAACGGAAACGGACTCACCAAATTGTCAACAGGTGAGTCAGTAATTTACTCCGGTCACCCAGAAGACAACCACACACACACCGAGGGCGTGGCTATCATGATGTCACCAACGGCAACCAAGGCTCTGATACAATGGGAGGCGATCTCACCCAGAATAATGACCGCCAGATTCAACTCCAAAGGAAGAAAAGTGTCAATTATACAGTGCTATGCACCCACAAACAACGCAGACCTCGAAAAGAAAGAAGAATTCTACAGACAACTACAGGCAGCAATAGACAATACTCCAGCTGGCGACATTAAAATACTAATGGGAGACATGAACGCCAAACTTGGACCAGACAACACAGGAAGGGAACTCATCATGGGTAGAGAAGCTCTGGGAGAGATGAATGAAAATGGAGAACTCTTCACCGACTTCTGCGCCTTCAATGAACTAGTGATTGGTGGCAGCGTATACAAACACAAGGATATTCACAAGGCTACATGGCTGTCACCAGATAGGCGAACCAAAAACCAAATTGACTTCATCACAATCTCGAGGAAGTGGCGGCGCAGCCTACTGGACACAAAAGCAAGAAGAGGAGCAGACGTTGGCTCAGACCACTACCTCGTACAAGGAACAATCCAACTCAAATTAAAAGCTTTCAGAGAAATAGGAGCTGCAGATAGACCACAAGCCAAGTTCAACACTCAAAAACTAAAGGACCAGGATACAAAGGACATCTTTACTGCAAGCATAAAGGACAAAGCTGAGACACAAATCAACATTAGCGAAGAGGTCAGCGTCGAAAAACACTGGGACAACCTGAAAGCGGTATGGAGCGAAACCTGCATGGAAGTTCAGGGCAGAAAGAAGAGACAGGACAAACTGTGGCTCACTACGGACACTTGGAGGCTAATAGAAGAGAGAAGGATGGTGAAACAAAAGATTATCCAGTGCACCGACGAGCAACAGAAACAGGAGTTGAATGCAAGCTACAATACACTGAACAAAAGAGTAAAGAAGAGTACCAGAGAAGACAAAAGAAAACATTATGAAGCTATGGCAAGTGAAGCAGAACAAGCTGCAGGCACAGGAGACCTCGCAACACTCTACGAAACAACTAGGTTCCTATCGAGGACACGTTCAACACAAATTAGGCGAGTGAAGGATGACAAGGGGATGTCAATCACCAAAGAGGTGAAGCAAAGGAAACACTGGGCTGAACACTTCAAAAGACTTCTAAATCAAATGCCACCTACAACGCGCACAACAATACCAACAACGGAAGCAGAATTACCAGTGAACATCAACCCCCCGAGGAGAACAGAAGTCCTGAAGGCAATCAAGATGCTGAAAGCTGGAAAAGCAGCAGGACCAGATGGAATCCCAGCAGAGGCATTGAAAGTGGACCCAGAGACAACAGCGGACTTGATGACGCCACTACTGGAGAAGGTGTGGAAAGAAGGCAAAGTACCCGAGGATTGGAAGAAAGGATACTTATTCAAACTACCAAAGAAAGGAGACTTAAGTCAATGCAAGAACTGGCGCGGAATTATGCTCCTGTCCATCCCAAGCAAAATACTAAGCCACATCATCCTGGAGAGAATCAAACATGCGCTGGATGAAAACTTCGACCGGAACAGCCTGGATTCAGGAGAAACAAGTCATGCATTGATCAGATCGCCACATTACGGATCATCATTGAACAAAGCTTGGAGTGGCAGTCACCTCTCTATCTCAACTTCATCGACATTGAAAAGGCCTTTGACAGCGTCGATCGAGAGGTAATTTGGCAACTACTTCGCTACTACGGGGTGCCACCGACAATTATACATCTCATCCAACAGCTGTACGACAATGCTGCATGCCAAGTAATCCACAACGGTAAACTTAAGGAATCCTTCGAAGTGAGGACAGGAGTAAGACAAGCTGGCTGCCTACTATCACCAATGATTTTCCTGATTGCAGTAGACTGGATAATGCGACAAACAGCGGGCAATGAGGAAATAGGTATAAAATGGACTCACACAAAACACTTGGAGGATCTGGACTTCACCGATGATATATGTCTGATTTCCCACAAACTGGAAGATATGCAAGTGAAAAATAACAAGTTGGCAGAAGAAGCATCAAAGATAGGACTCCAGGTGAACATAGAGAAAACAGAGGTGATGAAAATTCCTGGGCAACACCATCAACAGCAACAACAACAACAAACAACAATCAGCATAAATGGGAGGAACCTGAAAGAAACAACCTCCTTTACCTACCTTGGAAGCATCGTTTCAACTACAGGCGAATGGAACTGACGAGGATATCAAAGCAAGGATCGGGAAAGCAAGGCAAGCTTTCATTACTCTCAAGTCTGTGTGGAGTTCAACAGCATTCAGCGTCAAAAATAAGATCCGGATTTTCAACTCCAATGTGAAGTCAGTACTACTATACGGATCAGAGACTTGGCGTGTCACAAAGAGCACCTCAAACAAGCTACAGACCTTCATTAACAGATGTCTTCGCTCAATACTCAAGATCAAATGGCCGGAGAGGATCAGCAACAAAGATCTCTGGGAGCGAACCAACCAGGAACCGATTGTGAAACAAATAGGCAGGAAGAAATGGAGATGGATTGCCCTCCACTCTGAGGAAACCATCAAGTGACATCACTAGACAAGCCATTGCTCAAGTGGAACCCGAAAGGGAAGCGACGAGTTGGTCGTCCAAGGGTGACCTGGAGGAGATCATGTGAAGAAGAATTGAAAGCGTATGGGCAGACTTGGAGCCAGGTGAAAACTCTAGCAGAGAACCGAACGCAATGGAGACGCATGGCTGAAGCCCTATGTTCCTCTAGGAACTAAAGGAAATAATAATATACTGAAGAGTTTTATCAACAGCTGCTCCCATCACTCCCTAGTGAAGATCAAGTGGCTGGATGGAAGTATTAGCAGCGAGGAACTCTGGCAAGGAACTAGGCAAATAAGAATGGATTGGACACATGCCGAGGAGATCGTTGAGTGACATCATTCGCAATGCAGACCCTTCTGTGGAACCCAAATGAGAAACGGCGAGTTGAGCATGGGCGGGAGGGTAACATGGAAGAGACAGTGTTAGGAGGACAGGAAAGCTTATGGAAAATCGGGGGGCGAGCTAAGAATTACTGACATGAACAGTATGAAATGAGGATGTGTTGGTGAAAGCCAATGTTCCACTCAGACCTCAAGGGAATAATGATAAATACCAAGTTTACTAGTGTAGTAAAAGTAATAAGTTGAAATGATGGAGAAGATTTACAGCTGAAGTGAGAGATTTTAGTGTGGTTCCGCTTTCTCTGGGCTGAACTGTTTTACTGAGATGATTTCATCTTAGTCCTAGACAACACCTTCGACTCAACAACACCAAAGTAAAACAAAAAGTATAAATGTAAAGAGCGGGCAGTTAGAAATAAGGGTAGAAAAAAACTTCTTAAGGTGCACTTTTACTCTATATTCTTATAATAAGTTCGTAAAAAGAAATAAGGGCAAACTTTCATCATCTATTATTCCACCTAAACAAATAATAACTGAATTCATTGGATGAATATTAAAAATGATTTTTCAAATTTTCGGTTTGCATATTTTAAATTAGTGTAATTATTACTGATAGATACCATCATCTATCTTGAATTGGTGATTTATTTCACCACTGGTATACAATAACGTTAGTTACAGTTATAAATGAAACTTTAGAAGCTGTGTGTTTAGCACCAACTTTAGTTCAACAGCTTCCCGCTGAATTTCTTTTGACATCTTCTGGTCACAACGAAAGATTTCATCTCATTACAGAACTGTCTTATCAGATACTTTAGTGTTTCTGAATTTTTCACTGTTTACAGCCGATATATTAATAGAGGTACGTCGGTTGCACAGTGGTAGAATGCTCGCCAACCACGCAAGTGGTCCGAGGTTAGATTCCCGGATGACGCACTCCTTTACCTTGCTAAACCAGTAATAAAACTGGTACAGAGGGAAGGTTGGGTATGAGGCCATCAACCCCATACCGTGAAAATGAATACCACTGCTACCAAAAATTCAGAACTGTAGCTTGAAGCCCTATGTTCCACTGGGAACGTACAGGAATTAAAAAATGTATCAGCAGAGACTTAGCATTTCAGTTAAATATAATCATCCAACCGGAAATTGAGAAGTAATGATTTCAATGAATACTTTAAAGTTTCCCAGTACACTCTGAGTACCACACAGACTTCAAATTAATTTACTTATATACTATAAGCTAATACCTCTTTTGTTAATTTGTTCTGAAATAAATTATAATGATAAAGTAATGAGTTAACATGTCAGTTAAATTTAGTTACTTCTGGAATTAATCAACAACTTTCCAGTATTGCATCCTATATCAGAAGTGCAATTCGAATTTTTTTTAAAAGACATAGAAAGAAGTTGAAATTACTGAATTGAGAGTACACGGAAATCTTGTCGAAGGAGAACAAACCAAACCTCTTCAAACCGTCAAAGCTTTGGTAGTCCATATGTCAAGTTCTGAACTTTGTATATATAGAAACTGATTCAGTCAGTGAGCCTACAACGGACTTAATTTACCTTAGCACTTGATACATAATTTTTTTAGTCCTCATTAATTAATTTTTTGAAGTTTTATTATTATTTTGTGCTTTCCCACCACTACATTTCTACTCCTTACAGCACTGACATGAACTTCACTCGTTTTCAGTTGAAGCTGAACTCTACTAAGTTCTAATAAATCACCTAATTTACTTATTTAATTTGATTTTCAAGTGTTGGTTTGTAGGGATTTGATTGATTACAGGATTTTAATCATGAGCTGACATTAGTTAGAGAACCACTGGAAAAGCTGGGAGTACTGGACAGCTGTTTCGTCCTAGTTTGGGACTCTTCATCAGTACGAACCCACCGGGATTCGAAACCCAGGACCTTCTGGTTTCAAGGCGAGCTCGTATACCATTAAGCCACTGCTACCCAATCCAATGGCCCATGGATTCTAACTTTTGCCAATTCACGACATAGCAAGACCCCGAATAATGGTTTCTGTATTGGGTAACTGTTATCAAAAAGTTACGAAGTTAATGACACATTATTGGAAGCATTCCTTTTGTTTCTGTGGAAATGCACTATATATTTATGTATATATATTTATATAATGAGATTGTACAGCTTGAAAATGATGTCGCTGAAACTCCCTTCTTATTCATGACATAATTTGAAATTTTTGGCTAAAATTCAGAATTTTTTGAATGCTACCTTGGCATGTATAAAATTATTATTATTTTAATCGTATGACTTCTCATATGGACAAAGTTTAACTTGTCGCTGTCTGGGATCGAGTATATGACAGTAACATTTCTCTTTGGATGAGAAATAAAGTGTTTGTTGAAAATTCAAGATGTGCTATCTAAAGGCATCGTTAATAGCATGAATATTAGACTATGTGATGAATATAAGTTTCCAGACCGTAGGTGTTACGAACTTCCTGGAATAATTTGAGCGCCGAGTCAGACTGATTCATTATAAATTATTTAAATTAATCCCAGCGTGTTAAGAAAATCAAAACAAGATCTGTTTTCTGAACGTTTCGCTGTGTAAGCCACAGTTTCTTCAGCAGATAAATCTGCTGATGATGAGTGTTCGCTGATTTCGCGATAAATGTCATGATACAAATTAATGGTCTGATGAATATATCACGAACTTATAAATGAATAATTCCTAAGTTATTCAAAATAATCTAATAATACCAAGTATAAAAACTCCACAATACCCTATCTGGCACAGCTGTTATGTGATGAGAAAACTGTTAGGCATGACACGATCACCTTACTGCGGCACTCTAACAAATAGTTCCCATTAGCTTTGTTCTCCTTTCTTTGTTACTATTATATTGTTGCTCATATATTCTATTACAGACTAATTTTATATATCATATCCTGTGCTGTATTGTTTAAATATGTGAACGAAATACTGTTCTTTTTTTATTTCTTCTATTTCTCTTTTTTTTCTTTTGTTGTTGCCTTTTATTTTTAAATTCTTATAATATTTATGAGGTAATTAGATGCAATATTGTAATGAACGCTGAAAATTCCATACCTGTACCACAAATACTGTTTGGAATAAAGCCATTATTATTATTATATTGCTTTACATGGAGTAATGAAAAACAGCTAACAATCATCTTTCATTGCTGCCCGTAAGCGTTCATCTGGTATCACTGTCATCAATCCTATGCGTCCTGATGAAAACCGCCTATAATTACTTCAGAAAATAGCATTTTTGAGGTTTTATCACTTAGGCGATCAACGATGTGAAGACTTCTTTACTCTTCAAGAAATATTCACTTGACCTCAACACAGATATTCAAGTATGAAGAATTTCAGATTTGATATGATTACGTGTTATTCCAAGGTAAGTCAGTTAATTTTAACTGACTTAACGATGCACAGCGAAGTGAATCAGAAGAAAAGGCTGAACAGGAAAATAGAAAAGTGAAGTGTCCGGAAAACATTCTACTGAGGACTACTCATAACTATAGAAGTTATGAATTAGTAAACTCCTTTGTATCCATTTGCATAAAATTAGATAACTAGTCAGTTGAACACTTTTGTGACTGATAGTAGACGGTGGTGAAAAGGAAAGATTTATTGATAACCTGCAATAAGAAACACTAAAAAGAAAAAAAAGGAGATCGCAAGTACACTTTGGTTGTCCTGTCATCTTTAGAAAGTAAAAAAGTTAAAAATAATTTCCCTTGATGTCATTTATAAACATGTTAGTAAAATTTTATTAATAAGTAAAATTTAACTTACACATATTTTTCATTTCATTCTCAATATCCGATTCGTCACCGACATAGCAAATTTGATTTTTTTCATCATACAGCTGATCCTCATTGTCTTTATCAACCCAGTACATCACGTAGAAGTTGCACATTTCATCCTGACGTGTACTTCTGTTTTCAAAATTGTTCAGTAATATGAATAAATTGACGTAGTTAGAAGAAAAACAAATAAAGGGGGTATTATATTTCAACTAATTTGTTTATAAATATCTTAGATAACTTGTATTGCGTTGAATGCAAGTGGCTTTATTACATATCCCCATCAGTTACAGCGTCGTATCCTGTTGCTATGGTGGTTTAATGGCAAGTTGTATTTATGTGTGCTTTTTGAATGAAACTCTACATTAGAAAATTTTTTCTGATGTATATATTATCACTGACATTATATTCTTGAACTGCATTTCATTCGCTGTACTATTTTAATTAGAAAATATTGCTTGATACTGATGTCTGTCCAACGTAATGGGTTAAAGGATGTAGTAAGGTAAAGAGTTAACTGTATGTTCTTCAGTTTTCATAAAATCATGTTCGTATATTTAGCCTTATTTAATAATAATAAAAGTCAATCTGAACGAAGAATATTCTTTTCAATAATTTCTCTTCAGGTTCTTACAATTATAAAATATAATATTTGTTGTCGTTACAATAAAGGCCAGTTATACAGCGGATACATTTTTAACGTAGAATAACAGATTAGTTATCGGGTGTCAAAATAAATAGTCGTATTTGGGTGACAAACGTGCTAGGCTGAAATCGATTACAAAATATTGTAAAACGGGAGACAATGGTGGTGATTAGTCATAATAGATTTGTAGAGTGTGGAGTAGGAAAACTGATAAGTCAGTTCAAGGCTATAAAATGTATCAGGTGAGTGAGTCGCTAGTACAAAGTGGTCTGTGTTAAACAGGACATAGTAAGACTGCAATGAAAGGTTCATAATGAAATAACGAATATGTGAAATGAAACAGGTGGAGGCATATATTGAGAAAAGAAATAATATCACTAATAATAAGTCCGGATAGTACAAATGAAAATTCGATAGTATTGAGAGAATGTTTGCATGAAGGGCATAAATTATGACGAATAATAATAATATTAATAATAATAACAACTGTAATAATAATATTTGTAATAATAAGCAAAGGAAAAAACGAAGAGGGTTAAGGGGAAGGAGCACTCTTGGTGAGAAGAAGAATCATCAATCCAAGTTTGGCCAGGGTAGGAACAGCGTCTGGACGTGTTCTTTTTGGATACAAAGTTCCGGTTTATTCGATCTTATTGCAACAGCTTCAGCTATATGTAGGAGACGCAAGCGAACTGTACGTGATAACGACTTCGGAATTCGGTATATAACCCTGAAAGCTGTGTTGACATCGATATGATATCCATTATCGACCTAGTGTGACAGGATCGAGCTTTTTATGCACTTAATTTCCCCCCTGCTGAACCAAGCTGGTAAATGTTCTCGAACCCGTAGATGAACCTGCCTAATCGTGAGCCATATATAACTTGAACCACAGTTACAGTTGAAATGGTATATGCATGAAGAAGAGCTAAGCTTAGGTAAGACATTTTTGAGTTGCTGGGTGAACATTGGACGGCTACTGAAGGATAGACACAGATGTGCAGAGTAGAAAGTTTTCTTGATCGCCCTGGTTAAACGTTGAAACTTGAACTGACTTGTCAATTTTCCCACCCCACACTCTACAAATCTATTATGACTAATCACCACCATTGTCTCCCGTTTTACAATATTTTGTAATCGATTTCAGCCTAGCACGTTTGTCACCCAAATACGACTATTTATTTTGACACCCGATAACTAATCTGTTATTCTACGTTAAAAATGTATCCGCTGTATAACTGGCCTTTATTGTAACGACAACAAATATTATATTTTATAATTGTAAGAACCTGAAGAGAAATTATTGAAAAGAATATTCTTCGTTCAGATTGACTTTTAATTCATAATATGGGAATATTCCATACTATCAAATCTAATAATAATAATAGCTTTATTCTGAGAAATACGTTTGCACTCAAAACAGAATTTTCAGCGAGTTCTATTGCGAGGTGTTTACACCGTATGCGAAGTCTTCAAATAATATAATAATCTGTAATGTATCATCTGAAACAATGTTGTTCCAACCAAATTATGCTTGCTATAATGCTACTCCACAATGTTTTTCCTCCATTTCCTTCAAAATCTCCTAGCAGCAGATAGTAATTTACCTGAAATTGTGCGCCAATATAGATTGAGACTCATTGTATTAATCAGGAGATTAAAACAACTTAAAACGAAGTAAAAATTATGCATTTTGATGAATAGACAGCTTAGGTAGCCCAGTGATTTCAGCAGGCTGCCACTTTTTTATTCAAAGGCCTTGATACCCACCAGATAAAGGTGGCATTACTTTAAACAGGGATGTCATATAGTCACTCAGTATGTGCTACTTGTAAGTAGATACAAACACTGACCAGAGTAGTATTTTCACAGAAGAAATATTACAAAAGAAACTAGAAAAGAAGTTGAAATTTCAAGAACAACTGAATAAACGGAGGACAACAAAGAGAAAACTACCCAGTATGACTGCAGTGAGGCATCATCAGCTCAAAGAGAAGCGATTTATTAATGAAGAAGCGTTATAATTGGAAACCTTTTCAGCACACACCATAGAATCTCAATTGACTCATTATTAGATCTAATTTACAAAGCGGACAAAAATCTACTAGCTGCAGTGCGTTTCCGTTTTCTTTACAATTCAGAAGCCTCCACTATATGCATTCAGGAGCCGGAGATGTGTTCAAAAGAAACTAATTTAGCCTCTATATTTATCATAGATCTAGTTCTGTTCATCTCCTTAGTTATCCTTTTTCCGGTGGCTTCATTTCTTCAACGTGAGTTATGCATACTATTATTTCATTTTGCTTCTGATTCCACGCCGCTTACACACTTCGCTAAAAGATATTTTACACACTACACAACTATTTTCTAATCCTATATAATTCTGTTTCTACGCCCCATTGTGATTCATATTCAAACCCGCACGCCTTCACATCAAGCTGAGAATTACTATCTTCTTTGACGTCTCTTCATTACTGTGTTGAATTAAATAATAATTGTGTCTACGTGGATTTATGTATAAAAATGCTACAGTATAGCTTTTGGGGATGAAATCACCAAACAGGTATCTCTGATGAGCTTCGTGTTCTTTTCTCTCAAATGCCGAATGGGTGATGTTATTTGCACACCGTGACATCATTCCAAAGTGACTTTTTACCTAATAATTATTGTATTTTGCCTATTAAACATTATTTTTGCCATACACATAATCATAAACTATCCAAAAACATCAGAAAACAGTAATAACATCATGGTATGAACTTATCTATTGCCCTGTATGCAGACACTGATGAATACGAATTTGACTGAGAAATTATTATTATTCCAGAAAGTGAATTCAAGATACAAAAATAATTTGTGGAAGATGATGAATAACAGGTGACAGACATACGGGACTCAACATCACATAAACTAAAAGAGATCAAGTTAATGGATGCAGAGGCATCATGAAAAAACGAACAAGCAAACTACGAACTATTGTAAAACTGAGATTGAGACAAGATTATGGCTCGTTAGTTTTCGAGGTGGGAACTAGTCAAGAAATGAAACAGAAACAAAAGACTGAACAGAAAATGCTAGAGACTGACCAAAAGCTGTTTAAGTTCTAGAATTAACCAGCCTATAAACATTCTTTCAGTAGACCTCATAAAAAGGTAACATCCAGTTAAATTACCACAGCTAGGTAAAATCGAATAGTCACATGAAAGCAAGTTACGGTAAATGAGATTTCATAGGTAGTAAAGCCGTCAGAGGCTCAGCTACTTAGTTTCTCTATAAATCGATCAATGTACACTAACGAAATCCTAGAGAAGCATTAATAACAGATTTCTAATAACTACTTGCCTACCTACCTAAAGTGCTAATTAAGATTTCAAAAGAAAGTGGAATAAAGCCTATATATATCCATTTGAGAAAAAATCTGTGTTCATTTGCCTTTTTGAACAATAATTTGCTAAGAATTTATGCATCAACTTCACGCTTACCCCATTGGGATAACTTTATCTTCATCATTTTTCATGATGCACATTGCTGCCTAAAATATAAATAAATGTTTGAAGAAGAGTTATGATGTTATGCAAAATTATACATACAATGTTATCACCATTATGTATTTCAAGCGATTTGTTCTCCACTGGATAAAATGTCTGAAATAAGAAGGAAAAGTGAAGAAATTATTACTATATTTTAGGTATTGAAAAGTATTATCACCATTACAAACTTGTTATAAATAAGAGTCAGCCAGCTAAAGAGAACTGCAGAAAACATAGTGAAGTGGGGACTTTCTTCTGAAATCCAATGTTCAGCTCAAAACCCAAGGGAATAATAATAATAAGAGCAGATTGTGAAAGTCATATCACATGCAGTCTATTGTAACCATCCTACAATTATCTTCATCAGTTGCCATTTGGAAGATATTGATTATTGTCTACTTTTAGCCGGAAACGAAATCACTTGGCTACAGTTTTAAAAACCTTTTCAGTCCATAGAACGACAAATACTTGGGCCATTTTCTTCTACTTTCCAGCCACTCATTAAACAGTTTGTATATGAAATAATTAGTGTTTTTAGACGAAGTAAAACTACTATGATTATTATTCCCTTGGTTTCCGAATGGAACATGGAGCTTTAGCAGAACATCTTCATTTCAGCCTGTTCTCTGTAATCCTTTCTAAATACCTCCACAATTACTCATAACCTATCATCTTTTCGTTACACTGGCTCTTCCACGTCACCCTTGAAAGCCTATCGCATCTTTTCTCATTCGTGTTACACTCGACGGTACGCATTGCTCGTGATGTACCTTAACGGTCTCTCTAAAATGTGTCCGATCCAGCTGCATCTTCTCCTTCATATTTTTTGAGCGTTAGGTTCTTGATTAGTCTGTTTCGAAGAGTTCCTTTTCGCTAATTCTTTCTGGTCATCTGATCAGCAGTGTCCAGCTAAGAATGGCTGTTGTTGTTAAAAGTCTGTGGCATGTTAGAAATGCTTTTTTTGACGAGTCAAGTCTTCAAACCGCAAAAATCACTGATTTGAGATCAGTGTTGAAAACTTGAATTCTGTTCTTTATGCTGGCTGTTGTATCTTGCCTTTCCGATCCTGATTTCGACATTCTTACCCGTACCAAATGCCTGTAGTTGAGACGAGGAAGTAACCTCTTTCATATTTCTCCCGTTGATGGTGACTGATGCTGGTTGTTTTTGCTGTTGGCTGGTTATCTTCATCAACTCTGTCTCCCCTATGTTCACTTAATATCCTTTCTTTGCTGCTTCTTCCACCAGTTTGTTGGTTTTTGCTTGTAAGTCTTCGAGTCTGTGCGAAATCAGGAATAAATAACCCACGAAGTCCAAATATTCTAATATCTTCTTCTTTGTCCAACGTGTTCCTGTCTTCTCACTCCCTTTAGTCTGACGCATAATCCAGTCTACCATAATTTGAAATATTGTCGGTGACAGTAGTGGACAGCCTCGTCTTACTCCTTCCTGTTTTCACTTAAAATGTTTCGCAGAGTTTTCTTTTGTGGATCGCATGACATGCGAAATTTTGATACAGCTGATGAATAAGGTTGACAAAGGTTTGCATTACTTTTCAGTGTTGTTGCGATTTCACAATTACTTCACGGTAAATACTCTCGGAGGTCTCATCAGAGTTGATGAAGTTCAGTAATCTACTCATTATAGCTCTTCTTATGTAGTTCCCTGTTTTAATACCAAATGATCTAAACAATTGGCTTTCATAGATGTTTCTGTGACCTTTCAGAATATTGTATCCCTGTACGGCGTTAAAGTGAACCTACGAAAAGAATAAACTGTTTGCTAAACTGTGTCTTTTTAATCTACATAACATGGAAATTTTTTTTCATACTTGTCAATCAATATCGAACTGTTATCTATGGCTCTCCCTGTTTTTTGAATTTTCCCAGCCGAAATGATTTTGTAACAGTGATATGAATTACTGGGATTATTGCTTAAATCTCTGTTCAGCTAACTTATTTCTTAAAAATTTCCTGTAAATTAAGCCCAACATTTTATTCATGTCATTCAGTATGAGGAATAATTTCATAATGGCAATCAGATGAGTTCTACCAGCCAGGATAATGGGTAGGACTGTATAACTGTTTTATCGTCAGAGTTAGTATTCAGCACATGTAGTCATTTGCAATTAATAGTGTTCTCTGAGCTGGTTGATTTAGTTGCAAAGCTTTCGTCGTCCTTCTGGATAACATCTTCAGCGCCATATTTAGTCATTACTTTATTCCTGAATATAACGACGTTTGTACAGTCTTTAAATGAAATGTGAATGGAATACAATTGTTTCATTGCTCACCTGATGAACTTGCGGTGATTTGGATCCAATCAAATATTTATTTTTGTCCTCAAGAACGTATCCTTCATTCAGAACGCCTAGTTGAAAAGAAAACATATAAACATCAGCGGAATCATCCATTTTTCAGTCAGATCTTCAAATTAAAAAGTGGCCAGAAATAAATGCAACTGTAAAGACAGTTGAAAAAGCAGACTAAAAAATTATCTGACTGATTTTCTTAAACTCGATTTAAATAGTCCAGAATATCTTGTATTTCGGTAGATTTTTGAGGCCTGCTTCCAATACTAAACACAATGAATAAATTGTTAGACATGTTCCTCAAAAAATGCATGGACTCAGTGTTATATAATAAACATGGGAAAATAACAGCGGCAACAGACCCATGAAAATTTGCAGAAACAACCTCTACATTAGATCAGAAATGCCAGCAGTAAAAAAAATCTACTGACAAAGTTGCGGAATCACAGACATCTCCTTGTCAGTGTCGACTGATAAGAATCAAACTTTAGGTAAGATCATGTATTTGGAGAAACTCCATAAGATCCAAAAACAAAAGAATGGAATTATGATTGAAGAATTTATCGAGGCGCTAAGTATCTTCAAAAGTAGAAGGTCTATACCTGAAAGCCAATATCTTTGAGTGGAGGCGAGCCGATTTAAATATCACCTAACGTACAAAATAAGGGTTGTTACATTCTATCCTACTTGGCGAACTGAGAAAATCACATGGGACCACAGATCTGAATATTTTGTCTATGGCGATTATTTACTACTTTATAATATATTAGTAGGTGAAACAGCACTCATAAAATTCCTTAAAAAATGGAAACGCCGAAAACTGAAAACTGCAGTATCTTGTGGTAGTCCTCCAGGTGGAAACACTAACTAACAAGAAAAAATTAATCAAATGGGGCTGTGAAACAGATTGAAAATCTTATCATTGCTCAATATCCTTTTCGTAAGTTTCAAACCAATTTTATTAGAGTACTGTTAACAAACCTCCGTAAACCTAAGTTCGCAGTTTATAATACTGTGAGACAACTGTATACATAGTCATATTATCAGAAAATGACTTTTTTTCTAGAGCAAACAGCTCTGCCTTTCTGACCTTCCGTTGGGATTTTCCAGTACTGTGGGGACAACAAGCGAGTAGTTAGTATTCATCTCTGCATGTCAACATAATTTAGGTCTGAAGAGATCCTTGCACAACTCATCAGATTATGGAAAACTTAAACTGGGTATTTTTCAGTTATTTTGACAGTATGTTAGTGAAGATGCAAACTGATGTTCTCAATGATTTCGTCGGTAACTTAAAAACTGATCTGTTGGCAGTTGAATATCTTAATACAAAGGGTGATATCTGTGAATATACAATGGAAAGTTTACAACGTAATTTTCCAATAACACACAAGCATCTCTGTTTTTATAAACTGAGCTTCTAAAGAATAAATCTTATAAGAATGAGGATTACGGATGAAAAGAATCGTGTGGCTATTTACTCCAGGTTATGTGAAGTTCATATAAAACTGATGTTCCGAATCGATTTAATTGTAAATGACTAAGTGCATAAAAAATAACGTATTGTTCAGGTTGTAGTCCGTTAAGAAGAATCCTCGGAATAGTAAAACATGAGCTCATATTATCCTGATACGGTTTCATTTCTGCTTTGTTCAATAAAATAAAGTAAATGACTTCACAAATTAATCATTTACTCACCATGGCTGTGTGCATGAACGCGGTAGGCGAATGGGTGAAGTGTAGCTTGGCCTGTATACGTGCAACTCATTTCAAGTTTAGCTGATTAGAAAAAGAAAGGGAACATGGTGATTTTGAAATAATGGATGAATTCACTGACAGGTGAAATGTATTAATTTCTAGGTATATGTCAATCGAAGTCTGAGGGGTTTCAATTATTTTGACGAAATTTGAACTTATTGCTGTTTAGATGACACTCATTTGATTCGTTCAAACAATTAAATGGGAATTAAAGAATTCTTCAATGTATAACACTATATTGTTCAACTTGGTTTATGTTAGCATTGGCTACGTCTTGACATTTCACCTCCTTAGTATTGAAAGAGACACACAGACATACTCAGTGTTGTTCAATAGTGCTTCTTAAAGCCAGCGGGCAAATTCTTATCTTGAAAGAGTTTATTTTTAATTAACTGTGAAGTGATTTTTGTTGGCATTGACAAGCATTGGAATCCAGGAGGTCCAATTCATCCTATTTGGGACAGCCGAATGTACCTAAATCCTTACTGAGTTATTGTGTTCTCCCTGAAAGTCTTGCCCTGTACCTACCGTTTCAAGCGATGAAGCATTATCCATGGGGCTATGAGAGCTTAGGTGTCCGTACTAGGAGTCGATATGTCAACAAAGACCGAACATTTTGTTCCAGTATAATCAATCAACAAAATATGTTACATTAACCTTTAAACAAATAAGTGTGAATTTATGCAAATACTAATTTGCTACATGCATTGCATAAATCGATTAATTTCTAAGCCCTCAAAGTTTACCAAATTAGTTTTCTAGTTATGAATTTAAATTTATAAGCACAATAAATATGAACTTCTATTAATATATAAATTTACTGAGAGATCTATACTTAGGAAATTCCTACGTTAACATTGACGAATTAGATCACATATACACGGACTTCAAAAATTGAGTTACATACACCTACACTGGCATGTACATTCAAGTTACTTCAACTCTCTAAACATTTATGCTTACACCAATGTTTAGCATAACAGCAAAGCTCTAATTCACAGTTTATTAGCCACCGATCTATTGTGCAGATCATGTTAACCTATTGACTTCGCGCCAGTCTTTTATTAGTAAGCTCAATGAAGCAAAACCCTATATCATACAACAGCACACTCATGAAATAAAACATGTAAATCATCCAGGTATTTATTATTAGTCTTTGTAACCTGGAAGATGTTTAAGCGGTTACACTTGACTCAATGTAAAGATTGCTTATTTTAATATGAAACATTCCGAATTCGAATTAATTGTGACAGACCAGTATAACTAATCAATAGGAAAATTAGAATGTATCACTCACTTGTCTGTTTAGGTAGAACTTTACCACCGCTAACTAGTAGATATACCCCAGACAATTTATTGGTTCTGTAAACATTAACAAGTATAATAATCGTAAACAAGATGAATTTATAACATTTACATGGAACATTAGTAACTTAATATCTCCAGTTAACTCAAATGAAAAAAAGATCTCGACTGACAGAATAACGTCTAGGTTAAATCAAAGCAGTACGTGAGACTGAATAGAAAGATTTCCCTTCTGACTTGTGTAACAGTTCAGATATTGGGTAGATATGAAATACAATTCATACCCATGCACACAGACTGAACTGAACGGATAAGAATTTAGACTTAATTCACACCGAAGAACATACCATATCTAGATATATGAGTTTTAAGCATGGAAGTTGTCCGAAGACCGTGAATACTCTAGGTATTCACAAGTAAAATGAGTCATTGCCTTTCTTGTCGAGCAATGTTAGGTTGGAAAGGAGTTAATAATGGTCGAATAAAAACTTGGTATCAGCCCATGAGGTTTTTTATTGTCAATTTGAGCCAAATAGGGAGGTTTACATTACCTGACTGAACTTTTTGAGGTGTCAATTGAGAATGGCTGGAGAATATTGGTGCTACGGCTCAAAGTCATTCTCAGTGGAGCAGACGGATTATGCTTAACGATTTCCCCCAGTTATGCAGTGAAATATTACGATTGTTAATTTTTCATATTTTTGCTCACTTAATAAATAAGATAGCATCCTGTGAAATGTCTCCTTGATTTGACAGAAATCGTTTCGGAGTATTATCCACTACAGATTATCAGTCGAGTTGTTTAGACTGACTCACTTGTCTGAGTTGAGTCAAACCCGACACACTGCTGACGAGCTCAGCCACAAACCAATGAAACGGATGTCCTCTGTTTAGAACATTGTAATTTGTTTAGCAAGCACTACTAGCTGATGTGAGTCGTATCCCACTTCCCGTAACAATCAATCAGTAATACGTAGTATGAGTGGACAAAGGCGATGTCTACTTGTAATATTCAAAAATAAATAAGGAAGATTTGTTTCTCACATGGGTATATTTAGTGTTGTTGTGTTCACTGAGTTGGATAATTTGGTTGTGGACTTACTTTGTTTTGATGGAGGCAACGAATCCACGACTTTACGTGATTATATTATCTTCAATTCTAACTCAAATATAAAGCTGCACACTTACTAAATATGTGATCCTGCCACTAAATCTTAATCAGTCCCAGTTAAAACTGTCCATATGTATGGAATAAATGTTAAGTTGTGAGTACTTTTATAGTGGACATTTTCTTGTGTGATCAGTGCGTTGATTATTCTTGTCATTCCCATTGATACTGGCATGTCCAGAGATGGATAAATACTTTGGATCTCGTCTCAAATTAATTTAAAATAATGAAATGTAGACCATTTTAAGTGAAATAGCTTTTTATTGCAACATAGCACTGAAATAAGGTTGTATGATTGATAATAAATTATTTAGAGCCATGCAGTTACATTTCTATATAAAAACACTCAATATAGTACTCAGAGTTATAAACGTCAAGAAGACTTACGGTGTCGTTTGTACAGTAAGTCTTATTCCACTCGTATCTACTTTATTCTCTACAAAAGGTAGGTATTTTAATAATTTCATTACGGTTTTGCACACACTTAATCACTTACCATCTGACTCGAATGAGGCTGAACTTTTATAGTGAATTTGCAAGACCAAGTATTTCTTTGGAGTTCCCAAGCCAACTTTACACGACACACCTTGATGAGGACAAAAACAAGAAAGAGTAAACTCAACAGATGTGCTGAAAACTTCTTCTTATCTTCATAATTACTAACAAACAATCGGATATTACATATTTGCCTCTATAGATACATCTAAACAGAATAAAAGAGGTTAAATTTCACATAATGTGTTATCTTGATCATCTAAAGTCAACACAGAAAGAACAGGATCTACTTCGTTCTTCTTGCTTTAACAAAAGTTAAATTTGTAATATAATACAATTCTTTTTTGCCAGTTATCAGCATGCTACTGGCATGTTGCTTACAACGGGGCAAACATTATACTAGTAAAGTTAAGCATCTTCTACATTTAATGAAATTAGGCTTCCAAAAATGTGAATATCTGAGGACACACATAATAAGGCAACAGAAAAATAAATCTGAAGAAATAACCACCAGCTTGTCAGGAAATATTTTTTGTATAAATTGTAATGAAGGGATACTTAGTGTTTGGAGGGAAAGATAAAAAAGAAGCGGTATACATTGAAACGCATTAAAAAAATCAGAAAAGAATTAACATTCAATTTTGGAACTTATTTGAAACAATTTGGTAGCAAGCAGAGATAATATTTTGTTGTCGGAGAAACGTGTTTCTTATTAAATTTGGAATGAACACTGAGATTTCTTGCTTATTGCGACCTATCGGTACTATGTAATTACACCCTGAAATCATGTGTAACACAGTGTTCCAGAAACCAGCTACTTTTATCTTAACTAACCTCTTGTAAGTTAAATATTGTGTGAAGATCACTATTTGCGTAATAACTGAAGACTTCCAAGTACAAAAACGTAACATTTCGTCTAATGAATATAATAAGATTGATAGATGACTGAAGTGAAGATAGTCAGTACCGTTCAACATCAGTCAGTATACTATTCAAAGGTTAGTTAATTTCAGGGAAATAAGTTATTTACCTTCTGGCATTTTAAATGATGGAGCTCCCATCGCCCATGCAAATACAATTTCTGGAGTTCCTTCGCATACAGGTGATGTATTAGTAGACATTTCATCGCATCTCCTAGAAAAAACAAATGCTTCACATAAATAAATATACTCTATTACGTGAATAACTATTTATTATAAACTTGACATTTTTCTTAAACTGAGTCTTTGAGAAGTCGATTTGACAAAACACATTCATTCATATGACATAAGCAAAGTCCTAAGTGGGGCCATATCAACCAGTTATAGCATTTTTAATAACTTATATTTTACAGGAAAAAAACACATGTCAACTGTTCATCATAGGAAAAGCATAAAGCTTCTGTTTTCATTCGCCGTATCATACTAATGGTGTTCAGTGATTTATTATATCACATCTAGCAACAGCGGTTCTGGCAAATTTTGAAAGTCATATTTTAAGATAAGGAATTGCAGAAACCTACACATTTCTCAGATATCGCTAAAGTAAAATTGATGTAAACACAGAGCATATGATACGCCGAAATGATCCGGCAAGTGACACATCAGTTATCTTACTATCTTCTAATATTGTATAATCATCTTTGAAAGTGGTTGGTGTAATTTAGATACTTAATACATTCTCTCTATATGAATACCATTTGTCTCACTAAAACCCATGTCACTATGTATAAATCACTTCCAAGAAACGAAGTGAATCTATGCAGATACTTAGCATATCTGTATCGCTGAAGCATTAGCCATCGATACACAGAAGCCAGAGTTCTCTAGACAGAAGAAGTTTGATCAACCTCTACTTGTTTTGCATTCTATACTAGAATACTACATTCCTCAATTCTTTTCTGGCCTTACTTTTCGTTTTGTTGAAACAAATCTGCTTATTCCGCCATTATTAGTTCTGTCTGCATTATTATTTTCACTCCGAATAATTTCCAGTACTATCTCATTTGTCACGCTTTAATAATTTAATTCAGTCTAAATTTTGCAATGTTGTCTTACGAAACTTCTAATTTTCAAGCATTGGTTTTGTAGGGATTTTGTTTGATTTCATGGAGGATTTCATCATGAACTGACATCAGTTAGAGAACCACTGGAAAACCTTGGAGTACTGGACAGCTGTTTCGTCCTAGTTTGGGTCTCTTCACAGTACGCACCCATCGGGGTTCGAATTCAGGACCTTCGGGTCCCAGTGGCCCGATGGTCTACGAGCTTGCCTTGTAACCAGAAGATCCTGGGTTCGAATCCCGCTGGGTGCGTACTGATGAAATTCCCAAACTAGGATGAAACAGCTGTCCAGTACTTCCAGGTTTTCCAGTGGTTCTCTAACTTCTAATTTTGATTATGAACCTACTTATCTTATTAATTCTACTTTGTTTCCTAAGATTTATACATCCCATGAACTGTTTTATATAATACTCAAGCTGTTTTATCGCCTTATATTTTATTATCATTGTAATCACAAACATTTTTTTCTCACTTCATGTTAATAATTTTTGTCTTAAAAAATTCGTGTGCATAATATTTTGTTTTCATTTTCAACAAATCTCGAATGAATTTTTCAATGACTACATATGCAGCTGAAAGAGTCTCCGTTTATCAAGCTAACGTAGGCTTATTCTAAGCAAATTCATCTCATGACTGTTATAAATTTACTATCCAACTCATCTGTGAGGGTTGCTCATCCATAAAATTGTGAATTGAAGATGACCAGCAAACTAATTAAGACACCATTTTATTTCTAAATTTGGAATAGATACAAGTGTCTAGAAATTTTTGCTAAAGTTTACTGCATAAATTGAAGTAGGTAAATAATTCATTTGAAGAGGCCATTCATTCAAATAAACTGTTAGTTTGGAAGATTTCTTCTACAACTACAGTCTACTAACCATAACAAGAAATTCGATAACAATACAGTAAGTTGATTAAAAAATTTAATCGAAAGACACAACACATCTTAAACAAGGCAGTAATTGCTAAATACCCTTGTTATAACCGATATGAAATTGTGACTTAAGTTTGAAAAATCCTAAGCACCAAACATTGAATGTGTTCTTATCAAAACAAAGGGTACTGAACATAGAATACACTTTTCGATAACTTCTTCAGGATCTAAAGTTATATATATACATATATGTAGGGTATTTATGATGTAGTTGTGTCCCCTGAGCTGTATGGTTTATTTGCGAAGCTTTCATTGCCCCACTAGGCAACATATTCAGCGTATACTATAATTTGAAGTGAGCTTTTAGATTTCTCCCCAAGGAAAACACAAAGAAAATCGCCTAACCACATATAAAGGACGTCTCAGAAATCAATGCAAGACTCTTCAAACCTTTAGGAATTGTTGTCACACACAAACCAACAAAATCACTTCAATCAGCCAGGCCTGTGTCAACTAAAAGACTCAACAGCGAAAGAAGATAAAGCCAATATCATCTACAAAATAAGTTGCAACGAATGCGAAAAACGCTACACTGACCAAAGTGGACATCCCCTTCGTCTTCGCATCCATGATCATAGACTAGCCGTCAAAAGACATGACATCCACTCCCTCGTGTTACTGCATACAGACAGCCACGGACATCAGTTCGACTGGGATAGCGTTCAGATAATAGACAAAGGAAACATCAAAAATATCGGAGAAGTTTAGAAGCCAGGTATTTCAGTGAATCACCAATAATAGACACACCGGCATAGACAAAATTAACCAATCGATAAGAAGTAAATCTTATACACAGAGGGTTAAACTTCAGGCGGGGAAACAATCAGTACCAATACAAGTAGCCTAGAAGATGTCAGAACTCACAAAAACAACCAATTACGTTCAACGTCAGCAGTAGAGATGACTTATAAACTCGTGGAGAAATCTAAAAGCACTTCGAATTGAAGTATGCTTTGAAGATGTATCCTAGTAGGGCGATGAAAGCTTCGTAGATAAACCATCAAGCTTATGGAACACAACCACATCAAAAAATTATAATTGTAATAATCGAACAAGTTTTCTTGGGGGTAACACATGCCTTTGGAATTCATTCCGAAGGAAATAGCATGTTTAGTAGGAAATAATGATGTCCTGAGATTAGTAAGAATGAGAGGTAAATTAATGCGTAATCTTTTATTACATTATCTCCGTTAGACTGATGTAACATTTTAAGTATGAACTTGCTTTCTCATATACCTATGATGTAGAAATATATTATTTGTAAATAAGTGCATACAGGGTATCGCTATTATGTCAGTCTATATCACTGAAATAATGATGGTAGTCGACATGGAAATCTGATTCGATTAATGTTGTGAAACATGTCACGTGCCGTAAATACAATTCTTTCCCAATTAACACACCTGCAACTTCAAAAGACTTTAATTCCTACATCTTCAAGCCAAACCCTGTGTTAATGTTCAAATGTATATATTTTGAATCTATTGGTCTGTACTCTACACCATCTATACCACATAATGTAATTGACACAGCTGTTCAGAAATTCTAATTCAAATTGCCAGAGATCTATCTTGAAGTGGTAAACTCATAAACGGTAGGTTCAAATTTATTCTGATGTTAACATGTTTGCTCTTAGATAGATTAATAAATGAACAACAATCCTGTATTTCAAAAATTCCGCACAACTCGTTCAATCGATCAGTTTAAACAGAGAGAAAGAACAATGTTTGCAGAGTTTTATCGCCTGCTAACAAACTAGAAAATGACACTTATTATTATGAATGCGAAAATGGATAACATACTTGAAAAATCATTTCAACTCAAGGAGCATAGCGGTGGAACAGCAGATGTGAATACAGGATAGTTTATAATGTGATATCTAGAGTTTATTGAGGGTAAGATGAAAGAAATGGTGTATAAAAGCAAAATTATTGCTATGCCCTGTGAGTTGAAATAATTTTCCAAGTATGTTATATATATTTTTGCCTTTATGATGACTTATGTCATTTTAAAATGTTAGCAGCTGATTAAACGCCATGAAATAAAAAACAAACATGAGCTCTTTTCCTTGTTCAAACAAACTAATGACTAGCTTACTATTACGTATGAAAAACCATGATTGACGGTATCAAAGAACTCCAGTGTTTAAGCAGTTTCCTACCTATTTATGTCTCCAGTTCTTATATATAATAAATTCTAAAAACTGTAGGTTTTGTGACATGAAGAATATCAAGTCAAAACAAAATACACTTCAGTGACTTTCAATCTCAATGATTCTTCTAGTGAATCAAAATGAAAACGGCTATAAAATGAATTAACTACTCATAATACAATAAAAATGCAATGCCTTAGTGGCAAAGATTACAAATACATTGTCCCACAACTAATTTTGAACATTTGATGGTTATTACTGTGATCTGGCTGATTCCTTACACTGATTGATCACTGAAAAGTAAGCAGTGTCATAAGTCTTGTTCTTGGTGTTAATGCTGACTAAATTCTATCGGTCAGGATTGCAATATACTTACCAGGCTAGGTGATTTTTCACCTAAGTGTACTGTGGATTAATGTAAGTTGGTTAGAAGCAATCGGTAAGAAGCCCTAGATATGGGTGTCGTGCTTATAGGGACTCCTCGTCTGCAAGGCGTTTGTGCAGTCTCAAAGGAGATGATGCCTCTTCAGAAATTCAAACCTGCATCATTAAGTGCTGCAGTCAGAGACATTATTACTATAGCCTTGCATAGTGAGGCAGTAATACTTAAAATACGGCAAGAGTATCTGATACAGTGACCCAAGAGTTCTAACTTCATATAAGGGCTCAGTGGTATGTGCGTCGGTGGCACAGTGGTTCGGACGCTCGCCGACCATGCACATGGTCCGGGGTTCGATCCCTTGCCGACGCACACCTGATATCTATGGTCGGCCTGCAAAATTTGGGCTACCGATATCACATGCTGAAAATACCATACCTGTACCAAAAAATACAGTGTGGAATCAATCTGTAATCAAAAAAATGTTTTATCTTCTATTTTAAGCCATAAATTGTATCGCTAATGCTATTTTGTTTAGCAAAGTATGCCACATAAATTCATTATTATGACCAAAAGATAATTACGCCTTTCTAGAATACCATTCATTAGAATCAAGGGTGATAAAAATACACCATCAGGTGTTGTTTAGTGTCTTCAAAATAAAATTGTATATGCTTAAATATTTTGTCCTTAAACATAATAACAAAAGAAATTTAGTATTTCTCTAGAAATGGTATTCTCAAAAATTATTATGATGAACTTGTTTAAGCATTATTATTTTGTACAGTGTATAAAACATGCAAAGTTTTGTGACTCATAAGTATCAATTTCATTTACACTTTACATTATAAAATAATTACCATTAGAAATTTTACTTCTATTTTACATGAAGTGGCTCTTTGATAGTCACCTTTTCATAATCAATGGAAGCAGACAGACACCGTTAAAAAAAACACTTCTACAGTGAGGACACAAAAATTATCGGAATAACGCTAGTAGTTTAAGTAACCAGTGATTATAATAGTTGAGTCAGGTATATACTACAACTGGTAGTTAACAGACAGTACAGAATTTTAAAAAACAAATAAGATGAGGTGACCTTTGTTAGCTTTTCATTAATAACTCAAGATGGTAAATTTTTTCCGTGCTAGCACATTATAATAAATGGTGTTTGCAGTACTCCTCTGTAACCATAAATAAATTTAGTAGAAGTTATAATAAAGCATTCAGATGATGAACAAGTCTAGAAATGTTATATTCAGTTGAAGTTCATTGTCGCAGCAAATGAAGGTCTTTAACTTACTTTGTGTTTTCTATACAAATTATTAATTTTATAATAGCTATGATTAATCTGTAGCTAAATCACTTGATTGCTAAAAAAATCTCTTTCAAATAGTGTGATTTATTTGGGTTGGTGATTTACGTTAATGGCGGAAAACACTAGGTGGATAGTTTGGTTAATTTGAAGTTTGATTACGGATTGATATCATTTAAAGGATCATTTATAATCGCCAGAAATTACAGAATAGCTGTTTCATCCTGGTTCGGAACTCTTTATCAGTAGCCCCACATCACCGTACCACAGGGGAATTGAACCTAGGACCTTCAGGATACTAGACGAGCTAGCTGACTGCTCAGCCACAAGGACGGAATCCAATGGGCCATGAATTATAACTTCTGATAATTTGTTGTGCGTGTTTTTTGAATAATTTAACTAACACCGAAAGTTAACTGTTTGCATAGACTACTAATTTTGAGTGTGTATTTCATTGGGAAGAAATTATTAATATCGACTGAAATCGATATGTTATCAAGGTTTACACTTGGGAAATTATTCAGCTCAATGGTAAAAACGAAATAACTAGACTCACACTTAACCAGGAAGTTTATTATTATTTTTTTATAATATCTAAGCATTTACTCAAAAATGCTTACACGTCAATTAAAACACTAAGTAAGCCACTTCTAAGAACAAAAATTAGGAAAGTCTTACATACAAAAAATGCATATATATGTAAACTAACATTCGGCTATGTTCAGGTAGATAGACATTTATGTTAACGTTAAAAGAATATGATTTTGTTAAGTTTTGTTGTCATATCTCAGCGTGAACAGCGTGTTGTACACACGATATCAAGTTGACTAATTCTAAGTAGGAGGTAACACACGATTTCGTTTACATTACTACCACTAATAATAATCAGCTAGGATTGTAATACGACCATGGACATCACTATCGTTATCAATACCATCATCATCATTATTATTATAACTCCCCTCACAACAGTTGATATATTAAGGAAGACTGTTTAATTCGATTGGTAAATCACACAATTATTCAGTTAATTTGTAATAAAATCTTTTTAACTATTTAAAAAGTCACTATATTCCTCGGAGGTTAATTTGTTCTCATTAGCAAGATAGCGTTTACAGATAATAACATTAAAAGTAACACTAAATGCAGTTTACTTCATCTACAAATATAATAAAGGTTACCGTTTTTACCTTTCACCAACATTATGAAGTTTGTCTAAAAGTAAGTTCCTTTTAGCTGAAACAGTAATTAGTCTTTTAATAGGATATGGTCTCCAATGGTTCTCTGACGAATATTAATCCGTTATCAAAGCTGAGAAAAATCAAATCCCTACAGATTAACTCTTAAAAATTAATCTGATGCTTACTAGTGACTGTCCGAGTGGAAGAAGCTGTCTGGATTTTTAGTGAGAAGTCTTGACCAGTGGGGTCCACCAGGTCAGGTTTGAGGATGTATACCCCCCGATGACACTGGACAGCAGTCTCGCTAAATTGGTGAACTGACAGGAATTTGAATTCGTGGCTCAAGTGGCTGAACGGTCAACAATCTTGAAATCGTATTCTGATGGTCTTGGTTTCGACCCCCGGTGGAGTTACGATTGCGTATAGCGAAAGAATCCCAGACTAGGACGAGACACCTGTTCAGAAGTTCCTGGTTCGCTGGTATCAGTTTGTGATGAAGCCTGAAATACATCAGATCCCTACAAACTAAACTGTTCAAAATTAAAATCCCTCAATCCAAATGAAATGAATTAATTTAAGAATAGAATTTGGCTACTGTAGCAGAATGGAATTCCGTATTAGATAAGTTTTTTTTGACATCACAAATAGGGATATAGTATTATTAAACAGATGACGTTTTAAGTGCAAATTATCGCTCAGAATCATATTAGTGTGATATTGAATTAGAAAGAATGAGCACTCAGTTTTCATTGAACTTGTCTCAGGGGTTTTTGTCTGAAGTTCACATGTAATATAAGTTATAAAAGTTTCAGCATCTTCATACAATATTCTTCTCAATGAACTTGAACAAGTCCAGAACAACGAAATTAGCTGGATAATATGATACTGTATGTATAGATTAGAAAAGTTGAAAATTAGTTCCAGTCTACTATGCATCCCTGATGCGGATAGTGGTTAAAGGATTAAAACCCTCCTTATACATTTAAAAAGAAACAGTCATTAATCTTTCCATACAGTGGCAACAATTTTAATTTGTTGCATTTCACTCCAGTATTCACGTCTATAATATTCATGACATTTGACAGTGTCAATCCATACCCTTTCCGCCCCTATTTATCTGTCTTCGTTTGAAACCGTTGATCTGTTTTCGAAGTTACTACTCAACTAGTTGCTTTTAATTACTTCAAACCATCATAATTTGGAAATTTTGCTTGAGACATATTATTGCTTATCAACTGTAATTAGTTTCTGTCTTCCGGTCGTAACCCCAGAATATTCTTGCTACTTTTCTGTATACACCACCAAACTTACTAACATCTGTGATTCTCAAGTTTTGGTTCACAAAGATTTAATTGAATCCAAGTTTAGTTCACGAACCGACAGCAGTTAGAGAACCACTGAATACCAAGAAGTACTAGACAGATGCTTTGTTTGAATTTGTGACTCTTCATCAATACACCAGGGATCAAATCCAGGATTTCAAATGAGTTAGCTAACTGTTCAGCCACTGTGACAGATTCAAGGGCCCATCAGTTCTTACTTTTATGAATTCATGAGATATGTCTCCACTATCAGTCAGTGTCCTCGGTTAACACTTGTCCTCACACCTGACCTGTAACTCTTTTCTTTCTACTCTTCATCAGTTAAATCACGTAATACAAGTGAATTTCATCTTCAAGCTAATTAGTTATATCGTGCGAACATTATATGTGAAATTGATAAGAACTAACGAAATAAAATGACACAATACCACTTAGTTCAATTTACTGTTTTCGCTTTGTTCAAATTTCAGCACGTTTATAACAGTATAATACTCAGGTGTTCTTCACTAAAGTTTTCTGATCTTTTAGAGTGGAGGCAAAATCCCTTTACCATTATTTCATGAAATTTTGAATAGATTAATCTTCTGAGAAATGAAATTATTTTTATTATTTATTTTTACGAGTTCGACCGCGGAGTGATATCATTTAGAGAGGGGGAGTACTGGATAGCCAGCTGTTTCATCCTAGTTTGGGAATCATCGGCAGTACGCACCCACTGGAGTTCGAACCCAGGACCTTCCGGTTACAAGGCAAGCTTGTATACCATTCAGCCTAACTGATATCAATCCGTGGTCAAACTTGTATATAAAAATTTAATCCCAACAAACCAACTCTTGAAAATTAGTCTGATGCTCGCTAGTGACTTGCTACAGGATGGAATTTCTTGCAGTTCTAGTGAGAAGTCGTGACCAGTGAGGTCCATCAAGTCAGGTGTGAGGATGGATGTCCCACCGATGACATTGTTTGGTGGTCGCGATAAATCACAACTTGGTAGAAGTTAGAATTCATTGGCTGGTCACAGAATCGGGTCTCAGTTGGTGAATAGTATACGACCTTACCTTGTAACGGGAAGGTCCTGGCGGTGGGTGCGTGCTGCCGATGTTTCTCAAACTACAATGAAACAGCTGGCTGTCAAGTACTCCCTGGTTTTCAATGGTTCTGTAACTGATATCCATCCGTGGTCAAACTCGTAAAAAAAAATCAAATTCTAACAAACCATCTTTTGAAAATTATTATTTATGTTTCATAAATGCCTCGGACATAAACAACTTTGGCTTAAGTTTAGCGATGAACTGTCCAAAAATCCTGTTAAACAGCTACATTTTTCATGCATGATGTAGGAATGTTTACTTTCACTTTAATTGCTTTGTAGCTTAATTCGTATAGATGCTTGTTGTCCATTTTTATAAAAATTTAGAGACTGACCTTTTATCTTATTTTATGGCTTATAATTACATTTCAGTGATTTTATGGACACCTATATGAAAGAACCAAGTTTTGCTTTTACTGTTGAACCAGGAGGATAAAAAATCGAGTGAATTAATTTTTTCAGTGATAAATTTCTGATGTGGGATTTCGGTTACCAGATACATCCTTAGAAGAGGGATTCCATTTAGAAAGACAACGGTTTCATTCTACGAGTTGGTGAAGGGAAAAACTATTTAGCTTTTTAAAAAATATATATATCCCTATGAAAAACTCACCATAAATGATTTTCTGATCCAGGTTTTTCACATGAAAATAAGATCATATGATGCGCTAATTCAGGATCATACAGTGGCTCGAATTTAGCTAAATGATAAATATAAAATATAAAATAAAACATGAAAATAATGAATCACATATAAGTTATAGATAGAGTTTATTATAAGAATTAGTGTAAGCTGATACCTGACTGTTTTACTCATAATGATTCGTTAATACCAGAAAACTTGCTGAATGCTGAGAAAGTGAAACTCATTCATAGATGATAAGATACATTATTCACTGAAGAATCTAAAAAATTATTTATAGCCACTTTCTTGATTATTGTAAATCTCTTGTAAACTATGAAATATACTTTGTAAATAAACTCAGCAGTTAAATGGACTGAGAATTCAAGTAAAATCGGTTTCCATCCCAGTAGCTGAATCATCAATGAACTCGCCTCGTAATCTGAAGGTTCTGGTTCCCATCTCTGCTGAAGTCAAGGTTGGTTACTATTGAAGAGTGCCCAACTAGTACAATGCCGTGTGGTTTGTAGTGTTTCTCTCACTGATATTAGCACATGATCAATCTTGAAACCGATCAGATCCCTACAAGCCAACACTTCAAACTCAAATGAATGTATAGTAAGGAGGAAGCAGAGGTTAAACAAAAAGTAGTTGCATAAAAGACCTGATTATTTTCTCTACTTTTAAATATTGAACAAGCACATCCTCTGAACCTCATGAAGGAAACTTTCTCCTGCCGGAGCATACCAAAGAATTCGACAAACAAACAGATGATAAAGGCTAATAAAATAACATTAATATCAGGAATTTTCATATGGAATTGCATATTTACTCGCTTATTTAGATTCAGTCGTTTGTATGTGAAATTGATTTCAGAACACTTCGTGTTTTCTCACGGGTATTTCCAGTGCAATGAACTGTAATCTTTACAATAATAAATATCAGCATGTGTCTTCAATTATGATATCATGGTTATTAAAATTACCATTATCCGTACTTTTTTCTCCTTTCTTCCGATTGAAACATAAGGTTTGAAGTTTCGACAGTAGTGATGGTATTTTTATCAAGGCAGGGAGTTGCTAACCGCGCACCCAACCTTTCCTATTTTACCGGTCTTTGTACCGACTAGTAGAGGTTTAAGAATATGTCGATAGGGAAGTCAGTCTGGACCTCCCGCTTGGTAGGACAATGAAACAGAGTGGTTTGTTGCTCAAGAGAAAACAGTGTTATTTCGGTCTAGGCTTCAGTACTGAATAAAATGTAATTTATTGAATCTTGAGAGAAATAAGCATACAAATCTGATTGATGTTAGATCACAAAAACCCCTTTTTCCCCGTAAGCGGGTTAAAAACTAAAATCTTTGCCCCTGACAGCCGCTCTGAGATCATTAACCGTTTGTTTTTGTGTACTGCCTAATGCATTATTATTTAAATAGGTTTTCTAAACAATTTTTATTCAGGACTTGTAGAATTACTTCCAACAGACTACTAAAAACTTTCATCAGCAGCTGCTTGCACTTCGTTCTAAAGATCAGATGGCGAGTCAGAAAGAATTAGAAATAAAGAACTCTGGCACAAAACCAACCAGGAGCATATCACCCAACAAATATTTATCGGAAGAAATGGATGTGAATTGAAAACACGCTGTGGAGACGACTGTGTGACAGTATGCAACCCTGAGAGGAGAACGACAATGTCCACCTGGTTTCGAGGTTAACATGGGGAAATCGTGTGAGAAGGAAGTAAGGACTTATGGATAACCGTGGAACCACCTGAAAATGACTGCAGGGAACTGGGTGAAAGGAGATATGCTGATGAATACCTATGTTCCACTTGGTACCCAAGAGAATTACGATAACAGGGTAAAATTCATGTTCGATGATTATTATTATTATTCCCTTGCGTTCCAAGTGGAACATAGGGCTTCAACAACACATCTCCACTTTGTTCTGTTTTCTGCTATCCTCTTCAGCTGGGTCCACGACTGACCAAACTCTCTCATCTCTTCCTCACATGATCTCCTCCATGTCACCCTAGCACCAACGACCCACTCGTCGCTTCCTATTTGGATTCCAGTCGAGTGATGGCCTGACGTGCGATGTCATTCGGCGGCCTCTTCATTGTATGCCTGATCCATCTCCACTTTCTCCTACATATTTGTTGAGCGATTGGTTCTTTGTTGGTATGTTCCCATAGTTTCTTGTTGGAGATGATGATTAGAATTGTCGTGAACTACAAGTTTTACTATGTAGTTAATTTACTAATAATGTTAATATGCGAGAGAAAATAAGATACTAAACATTCTATTCAGTAGTGCGTGGGATGAAATATAGTGTTTCTTTTTTGAGGTAATAAAGACACTTAGATTGTGAAAAATTCATAGAAAATTTATATATATATATGCAACATCTGTGAGAATTACTTTCTTGAGAAATATTTATGGTGAGATATGGAAATGAGGTCAACAGTGTGAGTTTTCTTTAGGTGATACTTTCCATAATCCATTGAGTACTGTTTATTCAGTTGAAAACTACAGCCATTTCAAATCGCTTAGAAGAACCCTAAGCTGCCTAACTGCAATGAATACTTTTTATTGTAGTTGGACCAATGGCAGTGCCGGTTATTTTTAAGCAAATTGCAGTCGCCTATGATATTTGGAGAATTCGGTACCTAGAAGCTTTTGGTAATTTGTTTGGTACCCATTTATTTAGGTGTAATGGTAGGTGTGTCGGAGCATGAAAAATCAAGTTCCTACAGCAACAGGAAAATAGGAGCCTAACTATTCAATTAGGAAGAATCGTGTATTGTGAATACTTCTTAGATAGTCTGTCTCGGTAATGATTTGTTGCGACATATGTGAAATCGTTTGTATGTGTGATTTATGGATTGGGAGATTCCAGGTTATTGTTATCCGTAAATTTCCATTTGTTATAAATGCAAAGGTGTGAAATGAAATTTCCTCGTTTCGCTTATGTTTAGTTGAAATAGACATAAATAGTTTTAAATTAAGCTTCATGCATATAACGTTTAACACAGTACCACTAGTGCTGACTCTACCAGAAAGTAACCTGGAGTTTATATCCTATTCCAGCTTATATTTTTCTATGACACTGTTTCAATACTGTATGACATAAGATAGAACTTTACTTCTACACTGCATTTAAACTGGTACTAGAATATTATTCAGTGATCTTTTTTATACTCCTGTCAGAGTATTTATATCTTTATCTGAAAACGACTTTAGTCAGTGCAGAATATGTATTTTATATTTTAACCCTGAAAAATTTAATTCCAGGTAATCGTTAGAGCTTTTATGTTTGACAACAAGTACAGTGGTGATATGTATATGTATATTTGTACATACTAACCCAAACAGTGACTTAGTTTTCTGCTAATGAGATGAATATCCCAAGGCATTTGAATAAATGAAAGGTGAGACATGCAGAAATTTATGAATTGTAATAACAAAAAAATACGATTGCTTGTTTGCTTAAGTCTAAATTCCTTCATTATGATCCAGAGGTTCAATGGTTTTTAAGCCCATAGATACTGATATCAATTTTTTAGAGCTTGACAAATATTATTCATATACAGACAGAAAATCCTCGGTTTCATTCAAGTTTGGAATGTGTTTAATCATCGCTGTTTCCCATCATATTTTTTTCCTTCACGTTCCCCAGTGGAACATAGGGCTTCAAGCTAGTGGCTTGAAGTTTCTGTAGCAGTGTTTATTTTACAAAATGGGGTTGCTAGCCTCATGCCCAACCTTTCCTCTTCACCAGCATTATTTCCGGCTTAGCGAGGTAAAGGAGTTCGTCGGCCGGGGATCAAACCCCGGACCATGTGGATGGTCGGCAAGCGTCCTAACCACTATGCCACCGACGCACTCTCCTATCATATTAGCTCTAAAATATTAAATGTAAGTGATTTTGAGGGGTATTTGAAACATTCTAAATAATCTAATTCTAAAAATACACAATCTGAATGACTACATGAGATTATTTAAGTGCCGTCAACCAACACATAAAGTCTCTTCTCTAACACTCTTTAACACATTGCAATAAACTATGAATCTAATACTTAAACATCAGAAGTTTGGTAGCAGAAAACAAATTTAATCCACACACTAAATTATTTGGTTCATTCAGATATACAACACTTGTGTCTGGAATTAGTTGTATCTTCTGAGCTGATTTGTTTAATTCCGAAGCTTTTGTCGTCGTTCTGGATCAATTCAGATGTAAATCGACTACCAGTCACGAAGATGGTTGCCAGGAGGCACAATTATATCATTGATGGAAAATACAAATGAGTTCGTTTTTCTGCTAAAAGTTGCGCTGAAGATGTTGTCCAGAAGAACGACAAAAGTTTCGCAATTAAACCAACAAGCTTAGAGAAAACCACTAATTCCAAATCATCCACCTGAGCTACAAATCTTCTCTATTATTTCCACACTTTTGTCTGTCTGTGAGGTAATAAATATTCATTGAACAATAAATAGAACTTGATATGGAATAAACTGTGGGCTACAGTTATTAATAACTTTCAGTGTTAAATGGATGCATTATTTAATTCCTAATTAATCTGTTAATTGGATATATATCACACAGTAACACAGTACTATTTACTGGTAGTAATAATAATAAAACAATACTGTTTTATTGTTTGACATGTTCAATAAACAAATCACTATGGGATTACATACAGCCACAATACTCAAGTTTTAAAGATTTTGTCTATTCTGTTCTTTACAATTATCATTTAAAGAAGTCGTGACTAGTGGGGTCCACCAAGTCGAGTGAAAGGACAAATATCGGCCAATGACATTAGCTGGTACTGGTGTCATATTTGGCGAACTGGAAGAAGGTGAAAATCATGGGTCACTAGATTCCGTTCTAGTAACTGAAAGACTAATGAATTCGCCTTGTAACTTGAAGGTACTGGAATCGATCCCCGGTGGGGTTATGGGTGGCTAATACTGGACAGTGCCAATATAGGATGGAATATCTATCCAATACTCCTTGGTATTCAGTGGTTCTCTAACTGATATCAGTCCGTGATTGAGCACGAAACTTGGATAATTAGTCAGGAGTAATATTCAGCTAAGTAATCTGAATGATTTTCTGACGTTATTTAGTTTATTTTTTTTGTATATTCAATGAAACCTGTTTAATGTGACTAACCCTCAGAGATAAAATATGGATCGATAAAATTTCTGAAAGGATTAGTTGACTCTCTTATGTATACGCAATTTTACCCGTGAAATCCACTACTGATAACGACGAAAATTACAACTTAATTGATTCACACGTATAATGTAGCATTTTGTGTAATTTATCTATGAAGAAATTTCATCAAACAAACAACTTTTTTATTTATTGATTTGTTTCTGGAACCAGTAAATGGTGAGTGATTGGCGATAACTTGCGATATTTTAGATAATTATAAGAATTTTTGCTAAATTCGTTGTTATCTGATGAAATTATTTTTAATCTTTCGTTGACTGAGTAAATTGGGCCGAAATGCTCAGGCTTCTTCGGTGTGTGTGCTTCTAGTGCCGACACCTCAGCAGTGCTTATTATTTAGCTTCATTTTACTTTTGATACCTCAGTGAATATGGCTTTAGTGTTTGAAATTATAGGTGCTGGATCCCGATTCTCAATGGAGACAACATTACTCACTGGGAAACAGGTACCCTTAAATGAGATAGAACTGGCGTCCTGTATCCGACTGTTGGTTATCATCAAATAAATAACACACTGGTCATTTACGGTTTGATGGCTACATTTCTTAATCTGATTAAAAAAGGCTCCTTAAAAACACTTTCCACTGATAATAATTAATTTATCAACAGAAATTCTGATTACTTGATGTTAATAGATGAATGAGATAATTGCCTCTTCTTTTAAATTCACATAAAGATTTTAGAAAAAATTATTTCCAGGTAAGATCACATACAGTTTCGTATTTCTCAAGTAATTATATCAGGTTAGTTAATGTTGAAAAGAGCTGATTAATTCAACCGTAAAAGGTTGTAATGGACAATTAGCAATAAAAGAACGACATCATTAAACTAAACGTCCATAGAGAAATGAAAGTTGACCATATTTAACCTACTTTCGTAACATATATATCCTATACAACTATTATCAAGCCGTTAACATTTAACTGGACTATAGTTAAAGCTACTGAGTAAAGACAAAATATGAAGCGTAAGCAAGAAGAATATGCAAAAAAGTAGTAAAACTAGAAGTTTAGCATTTGCTTCCATCGAAATTAATAAGAATCTCTAATTGGAGGACACAAATTAAGCAGATACGTGTCTTATAGCAGTAATACTACTACTACTAATAATAATAATACAGGGACAAATTCATTCAATTATATAGATACTTGCTTGAATTTATCCTTATTAGGATTATTCTTATCAATCATTTCGATTATTATTCACTAAACCTAGGTCCAAGGCTTCCTGCCGATTACCTCTAACCATCTAATATCAGCAAATCAGTGTGCACCGTGATGGCAAGCTACCTAGAATGGCGGCCACATTGCAAACCTGACTGAGAGAATTCAGTCGGCACCAAAGAAACGACTAGACACACGCAGCACACTAGTTACTAGTGTCCAATGAAATTCCCCACTATAGTCCTGCGGGAGGTCGATTGCGAGCCCGAATAGCTCAGTGTTAACATCTCTGACTGCAGCAGTTGGTGACGCGGGTTCGAATCTCAGAAGAGATATGAGTTCCTTCAAGGCAGTTGCAGATACGCCTTGCTGACTAGTGCCAACTAGCACGAAACCTAGGCTTCCTGCCGATTGCCTGCAACCATCTAATATCATCAAAACTAAATTCATATACCTGAACTTTAATTCAGTTGACCATATTTTGGTTTCAAATATCAATGAATAATTAAATTATCATGTAGTTGTGATTCCCCATGAGAAATAACAGAAAACAGATATTTGCTTATATTTTACGCTTTAATTTTCATAGTGGGAATATTAAAATTAAACTCAAACTGATCCAGCAGGTAAATTTCGCAAAGTTTTTCTTTAATTTCAGAAAGAACTGTGACTATGTATGCGTGAGATGTTCAGAGTTAATTCAATATCAAGTCTTAGTTGACTTCAGTTTCATGAGAATTAACCATCAGAACCTTCAGGAAATTAACTTTCTTCTTGAATGCTATATCTACTTTTTATTTGGTGGATGGTGACTACCAGAATGCGGATCCTACCTTATCTGAAACTTGTCACCTGGGTGTACCTGCACTACCCAGTGAGTAATGATGTTCACACAGAGACTCGAACCTAGTTCTCATTGTTTCAAACACCGAATCTTTATCGATTAGACCACTTGAGTTGAAGCGTCTAATATTCCGAACATTTCAGTCAAATCAATCAAAAAAATGACAAATTTTTTTGTATCTGCTTCCTTCAACGTTGAATTCGCAGACAAGTATAACGTATAATTTCAAATTAGGAGGGAAAAGTTCCTAAGGCGAAACAACTTCAATCCATCTTCATCCTAGTAAGCTGCTTAGACGTCTTAAGTTTGAGGAGAAAAAAAGCCTACAAATGAATGCATTCAGCTATTCTTTAATATTTTAAATCATAATTTGTAAATATCAACCGGAAATTTTGACTGACACACATACACATGGTTGTACATGTATTTAATTCACTTATTAAACCTTATATTTCTTATCATTTGGTGCATAAAGACTAACAGTGAGATCCAGGACGCCTGTTTCTTCCCATTTCGGGCGTGTCAGACATTTTCAAAGTATCTGTACTAGAAGCCGACATGTCAACACACAGAGAACATTTCAGTCAATCAACAGGAAATACGAAACTAGGTTTTTTAAAACTCATATTTCTTTTTTTCTTAAGTTTCAACCATAGGAATTCTTAATATGTTATAAGCCTTTTAGAAAAAATGGATTACATTTTCCCTTTTCAATCTAAAATAAAAATTAATCTAAAATCGAATATATGCATCTTTTAACATTTTGACAACTATACAAATACTCACTTATATAAAATGTGTCATTGTCAACTCGTTGTGAATAACACCAGTATTCATCATCCTGAAGGTAAGATTAATTGTATTATAGGATAGAAACACTAAATCAAAGTACCTGTGTTGTCCTAACTCCTGGCATACGAATCGTATACTCATCTCGTGAACTAGGAAAAGTGAAAATCCCATGTAAAGTGATTAAAAGTAGAAATGTGCAGCATGTAATTGGCGGCATCGTGTACATCAAAAGAAGAAACAAAATCTACAGTGGTACTGAATGAATACTCATATTTGTAAATTTAATTTATACATGTAAACTAGTACACAGCCAATCAGAATACAGAAGAAAATTGGGTAAACTGATGCATTGCGGAGGCGTTCTTACATAAGTTTGCGTTTTTTTATCTCAGAAATGTTTGCTGTTATACGCCTTAGCTTCCCTTCATTGCTTACTTCGGATAAGCAGAGACATACTATAGATACAATCTTATTTGCCTAAACAATCAAATCACAGTAATCAATTCTCAGCAACCAATCGTCAATGAGTATGTGTGTTTCTCTAAATTCAACCTGCTTAAGTTGTACATCAATCAATAATTTTACTCACTCGCTATTCCACTTTCTCTATGTGTCTTACTTACTACTACATCTACCTATCTCTCTGTCACACCCACTCGTGTGCTTCTAAAAATATTTATTCTAGCAAGGGAAAATTATTTGTGTTTAAAATACAATGCTGATCATCTGTTTGTATGTGGGCAAATGCTACTCTTACTCTCTTCTCTATGGAGAAAGAATATAACGTGAATAGAGAGATAAGTGATGTGTTATGTCCACACGATACTGAGAAAATGGATCGACTCACAGACATTTGTTAAGGCTAAATTAAGTCATGAGCATAAAATAGAGTTAGTTTTGGAAAATTTTTCTTCTTTTCTCCATTGATTTATTTATGTGACCTGAAATTTGATGATGAGAAGTTATCCTAAAACTGAGGTAGTAGTTGTTTTTTTTTAAAGTTTCTCATGGATGGATATTTATGATTAAATACACATCTAAGTAACATGGATGTAGAAATTACTGTCATTATGAATAAATACAACATTGCAGTAACCAGTGCTTACAGTTCAAATGGAAGCCCCAAGAATCTACTTCATCAGATGTATATTCCAGAGAAACTTGGAAGACTTGTGATTTAGTTGTTTAGCGTTTGAATAAACTTCTCAACGGAAAAAGAACAACAATCACAAATCTCCATGTTACATCTGGTAAAGCAACCAATGTAAGGTAGTAAGCGCTTGAGTTTTTATTTATGTATACTATATTCTAATATTTAACATTCAAATTAATATGTATATATTGAAATCTGTTCACTTATCATCCATGTGTAAGAACTGTTGTTAGGTGTGTTGGAGGCAGTCGAAAGAAGGCCTTAAAACTAGTTTTCATGCTTGTCAGTGCCCATCAGCAATCTTGAAGGGACTCATATCCCTCTTGAGATTGGAATCTGAGTCACCCAGTACCGCAGTCAGAGACATTTCCAATGAACTATTCGGGTTTGTGATTAACCTCCTGTAGAACTGTAACGGATACTTTTGAAGAAGTATTCTAGTAAAATATTCTTTTGATTAGTAAGAACATTCAACAAAAAATATTACCATGAATTCTAATTAATTAATTAAAATCAAATGAAATTAATTTTCTGTGATGACTTTTTCTCTAAAAGACTAAAGTAACAACCTGTTCACATACTGATGAAGTTTTTAACACGTCATTTTAATTTCTGTCATTAGTCTGTTTGTTCATACAGTTACTAAGTTATGTAGAATTCTATCCTTCTGATAAGACGACTACTATTGTATACCTTGTACAGAAATAATCCCAAGTTAGAGCTTAAGAAGTGTTGGTTTTTTGTCATATTTCTCACAAGAGATTAGGATGCTTCACTTGCAAATAAAGGACTGTCTACCGGTAAACTCTGAACTGTGCTCAAATTTTTTCTTACAGAACACACATTCATGTTCCTGACAGTCACTAAGCTAGGAGACTGGACACCACAGTGTACTTTGAATTACTGACGAATGCTAGTAAGCATGAAATCTAGGTCGTGTGTATCCGGTTAACTGCTCCCAACCACCTAACACTATTTTAAAATATAACTGTTATGATCACTTTGTTTCATTAAGTAAGCAGTAAAAGATCAACATATGTAAAACGTTTATTTACAACAGACTGGTTGTCTCCTTCTAACAAGTCTTCAGCTTCTCAATTGGATTTAAGTAATTAATACTGCTAATCAGTAAATTGTTTTTATTCCTTCTAGTTCCTAGTAGAACATACTGCTTCAACCTTGAGCTTTTAATTTTGAGTAGTGATGGTGTCTTATTTTTATGGGTGGGGTTCCTTGCCTTATGCACAACCTTCCCTCTTTATCAGTTTCATCATCAACTAAGCGTGGTGTAAAAGTACGACGCCTGAGAATCAAACATGGTGGCAAGAATTCAATCACTGAGTCAACAACGCTAACCAGTGAGTAATTTTATATGATAAATTGAATAAGTATTTCACCAGATAGTTGGTTTCACCAATTCTTTAGTTAATCTCTATTTTGACAAACGATGTGATGCTTCTTAATAAAAATCGAAACCCTCACTGAATTCTCCTTTAATGTCCAAACTGACTAAAGTAGCTACAGTTTGGCAAACTGATATTAACAGACGGGTATAAATAACAATTATTAGGTTAATCAAATCACTTCTCCACTAGCTGACCTACGAAACTTTCCAGGTTTATTACATCCAGCGTAGGAACCATTTTTTTCAAGTGTTGCTTGGCATGGATTTGACTCATTTTAAGTTTGATCACGAATCGACATCAGTTAGAGAACCACTGAGAGCCATGGAATACTGGATAGCTGTTTCATCCCTGTTTGGGACTTTTCCGCAGTACCCATACATGACCCCACCAGGAGTCGAACCCAGGACCGTTAGGTTATGAGTTGACCTCGTTGACCATCAATCCTATGTGACAGAATCCAGTAGAACTTCTAGTAATTCGCAATATATATAGGGCGATAGACAACTAATATCATTGTAGAGTATTTATCCTAACGTCCAACTTGTTGGATTCCTCTGGTCACGACTTTTCACTACAACATTAAGCAACAATTTCACCTAGCGGTCGGTTATTAGGGAGCACGGGATTACTTTCCAAGTGTTGGTTTGCAGAAATCTGATCGATTTCATGTTTGATGAGTTTTGTTAAGCCTAAATTGATTTTAAAAATAGTTACAAAAATTAAAATAAGTTTGAGAATGTTACAATCTGTTGGGAATTATTAGAATGAAAGTGAACACATATACTTAATGTATAATACACAAGAAAGTGTGTATGAATAAATTTGTAACATATGACTGTCTAAACTAACAACTTTTTGAATACATTTTAATTTACTCTAACTCCCAAGTGTTACTCAAAAACCATTTGCCTTCCTATGCAGTTAGTAGTGCCGCATATTTATGGCATGAGGACTAGTGGTGGTACCTGGTAGTCTAAATCTGGATAGGTGGAGTGAAGTTCAAAAGCATGATCCAGTGATTTGAATTTGGATGCACACAAATTCACTTCATTTTTCTGCAATTAAATAGATTGCAAAGTTTATTCATTAGGAATGTTAGCAAAGAGACAACTTTCAAAGATAACTTTATATCGCGAACTGATCGAAATTAGATATTCATGGGCAATTGAATCGGGTCCCAGTGGCTGAATGGTATACAAGCTTACCTTCTAATCGGAACGTCGTGGGACCGAAACCCAGTGAGTGAGTACTGCTAATGAATCCCAAACTAGGAGAAAATAGCTGTCCAGTACTCCCTGGTTTTTAATGGTTCTCTAGCTAATAATAATCCTTTGGCCTAACCTGTAACTTTATAACATTTGTCTTATTTTACTTGACATTTTATAAAGAGGTTGAGTTTTTACAAATTGGAATTTATCATTTTGTAGGCATCTTCTGTGGTATGACTATCACTTTGTTATTTTGAAGAAAGCTTTATTACGTCAGTTTTCCCATTTCCGGAAAGAAAAGTTTTCTGCGCTGTGGTTGATGAACATCTGCAATAAAGACCTGTAGTGCCTTCCTATTATCCGAGTGATTGTTATTCCTAGAAGATATTTATGTTTCTACTCAATGGTTATGTTGGATTACTGACTAGAGGCCGATTATATTATCTTCAAGATTATGTGGTACAACCTTCTGTCTAAATTAACGTAATAAAAAACATGTCGCTATAGGCTGAAATTATAATTCTATAACAAGGATTTGTTAAGTCCAGTAAAAGTAAAAGAAGGTATAAAGTAAAGTATCAGAACTGATCATAATGAAAACACAAGAATAATGAGTGTCAGCTGTCTAAATAAATTCCGAATAATGTCTTAAAATAACTGTTGCAGTGAAATATCATAGGAAGGACATAGTTAGAATCATATCGAATAGCTAGTCATTAAGAAACAATTTCCACACTGTTTACCGAGGCCAGTTTAAAAACAACGATTAGTTTGGTTACTTTTCATAAACCTCAAATGGTTTTTCTCACGGAAACAATAAGGAATTCTTCAATAGGAATGAATAAAGTCATACAATGAGGAATAATTTCTCTCACCTTCACAATGACTATGAAGGATCAGTTATATATGGCAGGACTTGACTTACTATGCTTCTGACAGATCCAATTACTACATTTTTTCACTTGGACAGGGAAGGAGACTGCTCTCAAAAATGAATCATTTAAGAGTTGATTTAACTTTCTAGGAGCAAATTTCCATTTGATTTTGATATCTGAATTCAGGATGAAAAATGTTTAAGCTTAGAAAAAGGCAATAAAAATGCAATTCCTTCTGGTCGATAATTTTAGGTTAATAAAATATACTACTAATACCAATATAGATAGTTAAATTCGTTTTTTAAATATCTAAAAATCAGAATTTAATTGGTGGATGGTGACTAGCAGTGGAATCCAGGATACCGTGCATTTCGTCCTATTTGGGACTCGTCATCTGGATGTACCTGCATTCTTCAGTGAGTGATGATGTTCCCACCGAGACTCGAACCCAGTGCCCATAGTTTCAAACTCCAAAGAGTTATCTACTAGACCACTTGGGCCACGACAGCCACCTCTTGTGCAACGGGTCATATTAATTATTTAATTGAATTTTAGATTTTCCCGTCGATTGATTGGACCGAATTGCTCGGTCTCAGGTTGACATGTCGGCTTCTTGTGCGCATCCTGGATTCCACTGCTAGTCACCATCCACCGATTAACTTCTAATTGCGTGTTCAGTCATCGTCGAAGCATCTGCACAAGAAGCTGACATGTCACCTTGAGACTGAGCATTTCGGTCCAATCAGTGGCCGGGAAAATCTAAAATTGAATTAAGTTTCTAAAAATCAGTT